CCCTAAACCCTAAACCCTAAACCCTAAACCCTAAACCCTAAACCCTAAACCCTAAAATACTCTCGGGTTTCCACTAACCTACCACGCGGGTTAATATCAATGCCAAAACCCTAAAACCACCCTCTGACCGGGTTCTACCCCGAAAACCCTCATCTCATGGGCCCTGGGTCCCTTGCTATCTATATCAAAACCTTGTAACTGATTTACTGACTTTTGTTACTCTGATCTCTTCCTATGCACTCTCGGACGGGTTGGAACCACTAATCTAATAACAAACAACTTTGGAACACCAACATATATAACCCTAAACACCTATCTACAAACCCTCACCACCTATCTACAAACCCTCACCACCCATCCATAAACCCTCACCACCTATCTACAAACCCTCACCACCCATCCATAAACCCTCACCACCTATCTACAAACCCTCACCACCCATCCATAAACCCTCACCACTGGCATCTCTCGGAACATTCCCAACTTCTAAACCTCGATCTCCGTATAACACACGATCCCTATCACTAATGACCTTATCACTTACTATACAATCGTCCTGTATATCACCTTCCTAATACCCATCATATATCTATCCTCCTGACCCTATAATTCCCATATATTTCTACCGTAATCATCCCTCTCACCTGGAAATACACTGAATCAACCATGGAACCCGGCAACATGACAACATATATTTGGCCATCGTCTTTATTACTTGAATACGGAAAACACGAACGCCGCTCTCGATTTCCACCTACCCACCACGCTCAACTCCTTGATATGCTCTCCGTAACCAAATAAACTCTTCCGTAATCTGCGCTCGCTTTCGTCCACAATTCCGCGCCATCTGTCCCAAATACCGAATCAACTCTGTATCGTTCGCCCGGATATTATCCACCCCATGCTCACTCAATCGCTGGAACCACCGTTCTCGGATTACTGCATTGGCATGGGGCCCATGCACCATCATCGCAATCGTCGGAATCAATGCCGTACGATATCCATCACATGCCTGGACCGTCTGCGGACTATGCTCCGTTCGCCGATCGCTCCGCGGACATATATACTGCGGCATCCCACACCAAAAATGCGCCGTGAACCCATCGTACGAAATCTGCCGTCGAATCTTGACCATCCAATCCTTACTGGCCTGCGCAATCTTGCCGCTGCCCCCTTCACCATACCAACACTTCCACATCTCATGTCCATCGTCACGGCCTCCTTGGCTGCATGTCCAACAACGATCAACCCACTTCTCAATCTCACGGATCAAAAACTCTTCATCCTCATATTGCTGACCGGCCCTCCCATCCGCCTGCTGGCATAATTCGGCCCGTTGGATATCCTGTTGCCGAAATGTATGCTGGATGGCGATTGGTACGGCCCGGGCCATGGTGCTGGGAATATCCTCCGTCGGGCCGGCCATCACCGGCTCAACCGCCCCAACATCAACCATCGGGTCATCGGCGATAACGGGGGACGCGGATCCAATCCGGGACTCCTGGTCTTCCCAATTGGGCATACATCCATCACATGCGGACTCGACCACCCGATCACCACATCGCTGTCGTTGGTATTCCTCGATGGGTCCATCCAAATACCCATCCAATATCACTCGCCGGCAACCCGTCACCGCCGCCTCCATATACTCAACAACATGGGCATGGTCGTCCGGGGGCGCATCGTGCATCCAAAACGGACGGCATTCCCGCCCCATCGTCTGACCCTCGGCCTGGATGATAATCGCCTCGCTGGGCTGTCCATCACGCCCGGCCCGCCCACTTTCCTGCGCGTAATCTAACATGGTCCGGGGCTGACCAACGTGGATCACACTGCGGATATCGGGGATATCAATCCCCATCCCTAACGCACTGGTGGCCGTGATCACCGCCCCGGCCTGGTGGCGGAATGATGCCAAAATCCCTTCCTTGTCCACCTGCTTGCTATGGTATGCGGCACAACCTAATAACTCGGCCAATGCGGTGACATGGGCCCGGACGGTGGCATATATGATCACCCGGCCGGGGTACGCTCGGCGAACACGGTCCTGGATGAACTGGATCACACTCCGCATCTGCACCCACTGGAACGGATGGTCATATCCATCGTCTACGGGGATCGTATGGACACGATATGCGATATTGGGCCGGCTGGTGTGGCCCCGATATAATACCACTTGATCCCGGACCCAATGCATCCGATGGAATAATAATTCCTCGCTGCGGGGGGGCAATGTCGCGGTCAACATCACGATCTGGGTGGCTGCGGTTCGTAACTTGCCCAACTGCTGGAATAATGGCCGGAATCGCTCCTGTTGACTTAATACCATATGGCACTCGTCCACCACAATCCGATCTAATCGCTGTAACATCCGCTGCCGGGTCACAAAATCGGCAAATGCATCGCTGTCGGTGCTCTCGGGCGTGATCAATACGATGGATACCCCATCGGGTGGCCGTCGGGGGTCCCATACCGCACATGAAATCCCCAATCGCTGGCATCGTGCTTCCATGTCACCGCGTAATGCAATCAATGGAACAACCACGATGGTTAACCCGGCACGGCCACTCACCCACGCGGGCAACATAAACAACACACTCTTACCTCCCCCGGTGGGCATGACCGCCACAATGGGGCTTACCCCATGCTTGATGGCTTGTAATACGGGACCCTGTTGCCCCCGCAATGCTACGGTGTTGCTCCCCATCATGTGCTGGAATGCCTCGTCTATGTTGGTCTGGTGTAAATCATATCGACGCTGCGTACGGGCCTCGGCCGTTTCGACTTCCCATGGGTTGGGCTTACGCTTGGTGCCGGGGGCCCGGCGGTCATGTTCGATACGGGTGGACTCGAATCCTAAAAAATAATGCCAATCCTGGCTCACCTGGCGGAATAACTCGCGGTGCCGGGCCGTGGTGTTGGGATTCTCCATCATCATCCGGCCATATTGCGTCCCGGCAATGCTGGCGGAATGCGCGGCCTGGATATCCGCAATGAATGCTCGGATCCCATCATCATCCATGGATGTCTCGTCGTCAATGTCGGGGGCCTCCTCCTCGGTGTTGGCCTGGAACTGACTGCTGGGGCGTAAATACCGCCGGCTGATGGCGATGGCGATGTCACGGTATGCCTGTAATCCCAACTTCTGCCCATCCAATCCAATCGCGGTCTCGCGCTTCAATACCTCCCGTAACCGGACGCTACTCCACTCGGTCTGCCGATCGGGATCCGGGGACCATACATACTCGGCCCGTCGACCGATGGTGGCGGCTTCGCCCCGTATATGCCGCTGATATGACTGCATCTGCTCCACAAATGGCAATACTAACCATAAATACCATATGACCAACTCACCAATCTCCCGGGGTAAATATCGGAAAATCACCTTGGTATCATTGGCCACATGGAACCCCTTATGGTATCGACTGACAAATGTGACCATGCCATCCTCAATGAATATATTGCGGCGCTCTCGCTCACTGTTACGATGCCGGATGCTCATTAACTCGGGACCCCGGCTGGGTTGACCGGCACAAACATGGACGGCCACGCTTAACCGCTCACGGAACTGGCTCACCACTCGAAAAAACCGATCGATGGCGGGCATCCGGAACCCGGCCCCGTGGGACTGTACAAACTGACGCTGTAATCGGGGCTCGTGGCGGATACGCTCCATGAACCACGTCGGACCCTGGACCGGCCACGATGTACGTAAATCCTGTAAAAAACTCCATCCGGTGGCACTCTGCGTGGCATCATCGTACAAATGATCCCACGGGATGGCTGGGGGCGGGTGATCGGTGCAAAACATCAACTCGTGGACCAACTGCTGCCGTAACCGGCCAACCAACCCATGCACAAATCCGCGGAAATGGCCCATGGTAAAATGGATCTGTTTGTACAACAATTCATCTCCGGACTTCCACCCGATATGACCCTCGCTGGGGGTATTCATAAATATCGTCCGTCCGTACGTACGTAAATCTAACCACCACTGGACGGGGCCATTGGTCCCACGAACCATGAATAAATCCACCAAATATGTGACCCATTCGGGGAACGTTCGGTCGGGATGCTGGCGCTGCTCCTGTGTCAATGCTCCTAATATGTCATCGCTGGTGGGGGGGGAACTACGCATGGCCACCGGGGATGGGGGGGCACTGCCATATCCTTCATCATCGTGGGCATATGCCTCATCGATGCCGATCATATCACCTTCAAACCATGGCGGGTTCTGCTGCCCGGCGAACCCACGACGGATCTCCGATGACCGGGGGTCTAACCGCAATGCTTTGTGCAAAATAAAAAACCGCGCGATCTTGATCAAACTGGATATCCGGGGGGGGGAAATTCTCGGGCGTGGCCCAACCAAACTGCCCGCATCCAATCACGGCGGTGGCACAAATCATGGCACATCCATATTCATCGTTGCGGATCTTCTGGCGTAATAAATCGATGCAAAACGTTAATAATGCATGCTCGATGGGACGAATCTCGAATGGCTCGGGCTCATCATCCTCGGGGTCGGGACAACTGGCCTGGGCCTGGGCATGGCGCCACACGGCATCCCATAACTGCTGCTGTCGGGGGGTAAATGAATACTTGGGTGATTCCCAATCATGTTCAATCTGGGATGGTGAATCAACCTGGGTGTCTGATATCGGGTACGGACGTGATCATACCTGGGTTCGTGCAAAAAACATCATAATCTGCTGCCACGGTGCCACATGCTTTTGAATGGCGGTGGCATCTAAATATGCCAATAATGGCTTATGTGGACTCTCGTCCTTCATCGTACGGACCACATCAATGCGTACTAAATGCCCGCACGCCTTGGCGATCTCCTGGCTCACCGATGCCAATCGCTCCATGGCCTCCCAAATGACCAATGCGATACGCTCTGGTCCCTCGGCATCCTCCTCGGGGCGCTGGGTACTCTCGAATAATGGCTGCCGGGGGGGTCCCTTGTAAATACCGAACCCACCCCGTCCGATTCAACCATGGCGTGGCTTCATCTAACTCCCCGGCCTGGATGATGGTTTCATGGGCCTGTTGATCTTGCTGCTGATACTCCTCAACCATTTGCACTAACTGGTGAATCCGGTCGGGGTCTTCCACGGGGTCTATGGGGGGCTCATTGGGATTGGGCTGCACAATATGAATATAATGTGAACCGGGGCCTTGGCTGAATATACGCTGACACGCAACGGCTCGGCTATTGGCGTTAATGGCGGCCTGGATGGCTTTTTCCTGTCTGGGTGTGGGACGACCACGGCTTTGCTGTACACGATACTGATGGGCCTCTATCCAATGTGCCTTCATCGTACGGATCTGGCGGCATGTATATACCTCACATTGCTGGCACAATAATCCATCCTGATAAACGGGTAACTCGGGGATGGGTTGATCAATCTGGCGGGGCCAACTATCCACCTCTGGGTGATCATCAATATGATCCCACTGCTGGATCACTCTGTCGATATACTGTACCCACGAAATGGGTATCCGATGTACGGTACTACTTAAATGGGCCTTGATCTGTCCCCGGCGTACGGCACATTGACATTTCTGGCAAATCAACACGCGAAATTCGGCATTGACACAAAATAATTCGTGGGCCTGGTATTCGGTGTCCATGTCGGATATGGAAATCTATATATCGGCTGGTATTGTATATCTGGGAAATGGGATCAACTCAATGTTGTTCAAATGGACCCAAAATAAAATGGGATGATGATGGGGGATCTGGGAAAACCCCCCCTGAAATTTGAAACAAAAAAAAACAAATCCTATGACTAAACTACATATGGTGGTTGTTGATGTTGGTGGGTTTGACTGGTCGCGACCGGCGGCTGGTGGTTACCCCATCAAAAAATCTTGCTACTTTGTGGGGGACAAAATCGATACTGGATATGCTCTGATTGTGCTTAAATTTGGCTATGGAATAAAACTAATACTAAATTAAAATATATCGAAATCTGGAAACTCTACGACATTATTTTGCTAAATTCAATGGGGGTTTGAAATCTAAATTCAATGGGCCCTGGACCCACTTTTTTCCCCCATACTTAACAAAACCCTAAAAAATTCAATGGGCCTCATTGAATTTACCCCCATGGGATAGAAAGTATATAAAACTTTAAACTATCTAAATAACTATTTAATATCTATATAATATATATCCTAATAATTAAGTAATATCTTTATAAATAATAAAGTAGATCTCTACTAGTATTTTACTTCTTTAATACCTTACTAATAATATTAATTACTTTAAAAATCTATAAATAATTACTAGAGTACTTAGAATAAAAGAAACTAGATATAATTCAAATATATAATAGAGATATATCTAGATAGATATTAAAATAAGTATTTTTCTATAACTACTAATATATAAATTCTAGAGATAATATAAATTAATATTAATATTAAATCCAACTAAAAATAAATTCTAGAATCTATCTAGATTATAGTCCTTAATAAACTAATAAATTATAGAAGAGATTACTACTAAAGACTAGTACTAAAACTTAGATACGATAGGTCCCTAGCTCCAGAGAGTGACTCTTTTACTTAGGTATAGCAGACCCTCGTACGTAGGGGATAAAGGCTAGACTTTAGGAGTAAAGCAAAAACTTAAGATATAAAGTCTAAAATTTAGGAGCTAAGCTAAAATATAGGGTATAATACCTAAGCTTAGATATAATAGGGCTCTAGCCCTAGGGGGTTAAAAACTTACTAAGATATAGCTAACCCCCATATATAGAGACTTGGGTCTAGATATTAGAACTAAAGCTAAGACTTTAGAGAAGCTTTAGAGATCAAACCCAAAATTTGGGAACTAAGCCAGAACTTAGAGAGTAGTACCTAAGTTTAGGTATAACAGATCCCTAGCCCTAGAGGCCTAAATTCTCACTTAGTTATAGCAGACCCTTATACGTTAGGGACAAAGCCCAAATATTGGGATTAAAGCCAAAACCTTAGGAAGTAAAACCTAAGCTTTAGGGATAAAGCCCAAAATTTAGGAACTAAGTTAAAACTTAGTAGGTAATACCTAAGCTTAGGTATAATAGGTCCCTAGTCCTGGGGGGTCAAACTTTCACTTTAGTATAGCAGACTCTCGTACGTAGGGGACAAAGCCTAGACTTTGGGAACTAAGCTAAAACTTTCGGGGGTAAAACCTAAGCTTTAGGGGTAAAGCCTAAAATTTGGGAACTAAGCTAAAACTAAGAGAGTAATACCTAAGCTTAGATATGATAGGTCCCTAGCCCTAGGGGGGTTATACTTTTACTTAGGTATAGTAGACCCTCGTACGTAGGGGGGTAAAGTCTAGAATTTAGGAATAAAGCTAAAACTTAGGGGGTAATACCTAAGTTTAGATATAATAGGGTCCTAGTCCTAGAGAGTAAAATATTTATCTAGGTATAGTAGTTATATATATATAGAAACTAAAGTTTAGTTTTAGAAATTAAACTAAAATTTAACAGAGTAAAATCTTAATTTTAGTAATAAAGTCTTAATTTAGAGAATAATACCTAGACTAAGATATTATAGATCTCTATATATTTTAATATAAATCTTAGGGTTAGAAATTATATTAAAACTTTAGAGATATAGTCTAGATTTAGATATAAGAGATCTCTAATTCTAGAAGATAAACTTTTACCTAAAATATAATATACTTCTATATCTAGAAAGTAAAGTTTAAATCTAAATATTCTAAGATTTTATATATCTTAAAAGATTTAGAAGAGATTAGATAAAGAGATAAATATATTTAGGTTTTTTAATAAGAAAAGAAATTATATACTATTTATTATATTTACTAATTTTGTATTAATTACCTTACTTATTCTATAATTCTTTTTATATAGTATCTAGGGTTCTTTATTATAATTAATTCTTTTAATCTAGATATATTATAAATTAAATATTAATTAAGAGTTGTCTAGAATTCTATATAGCTAGAGTTTATATAAATAAACTCTTACTATCTAGATATAAAGATTTATTTAGATAAATCTAGTCTATATAAAAATATAGCTTTACTATAGTAATCTTAATAGTTTTCTAGGATTCTATATAACTAGAGTTTGTATAAAGAAACTCTTATATACTAGATATAAGGATTTATCTAGAGAAACCTAGTCTGTACTAAGGTATAGCTTTACTATAGTAATCTTAATAGTTTTCTAGGATTCTCTACAGCTAGGGTTTATACATAGAAACTCTAACTGTCTGGATATAAAGATTCACCCAGATGAACCTAGCCCGTGCCTTAGTACGGCTTCACTATAGCAATCTCAATAGTTTTCTGGGATTCTGTACGGCCGGGGTTCGTACGAAGAAACTCTCACTATCTGGCTGTCAAGATTTACCTGGACAAACCCAGCCTACACCAAGGTGCGGCTTCACTATGGCAATCTTAATAGTTTTCTGGGATTCTGTACGGCCGGGGTTCGTACGAAGAAACTCTCACTATCTGGCTGTCAAGATTTACCTGGACAAACCCAGCCTACACCAAGGTGCGGCTTCACTATGGCAATCTCAATGGTTTTCCGGGATCCTGTGCGGCCAGGGTTCGTACGAAGAAACTCTCACTGTCTGGATGTGAAGATTCACCTAGACAAACCTAGCCCGTACCAAGGTACAGCTTTACTATGGCAATCTTAATGGTTTTCTGGGATTCTGTATAGCTTAGGTTCGTACAAAGAAACTCTTGCTGTCTGGATGTGAAGATTCACCCGGACGAACCCAGCCCGTGCCTTAGTGCGGCTTCACTATGGCAATCTCAATGGTTTTCCGGGATTCTGTGCGGCCAGGGTTCGTACGAAGAAACTCTCACTAGCTAGATATAAAGATTCACCTAGATAAACCTAGCCCGTGCCTTAGTGCGGCTTCACTATGGCAATCTCAATGGTTTTCTGGGATTCTGCGCAGCCAGGGTTCGTACGAAGAAACTCTTATATACTAGATGTGAGGATTCACCCGGACGAACCCAGCCCGCACCAAGGTGCGGCTTCACTATAGCAATCTCAATAGCTTTCTGGGATTCTGCACGGCCAGGGTTCGTACGAAGAAATCCCAAATTTGATAGTATTCACTATGCAATCTTAACCACCTTGACGACGTAATCGGATACACCCCCTTAGATATAAATACCCTCCCTACCCCCCACCGAACTTAACTTCTTCACCATCTCTCCTTCTTCTCATCTTCTCTCTCCCATCTTCCACTTCCCACCCCATCCAACATCACCATCTTCTCAACCATCAACTGGCCAACCATGGACACCGACCAAGCCCTCATCCCGTACGAGGCTAGCCAGGTGCTAGTCGGCACAAACCAGTTCCTCGAGCGCCGTGCCACCCACGAGGACAGCCAGGGCCGCATCTACGTCCGAGTCCGTCTCTCCCACCTCGCCAACGAGGCCCTACGCCTCAGCTGTCACACCGCCGTGCAGCGAGAGGTGTGGTCCTTTCCGACGTACGAATTCTGGATCCGTGTGATCAACAACAAGATCGTCATCTCGGCGAACCAGGCAAGTCGCCCGTGGTGTAGTGGTTTGTACGAAGCTGACCATATCTAGATCCGCACTGGCCGCCCTTCCTACATCAACGCGGTGTTGATCGCCTCCCGGGGCATGCTGAACCCGGGGGAGGTGTGTGGGCACTCGACCTCAGGTCGTCCCTTCGGTGGCTGCGTACGACTGCCTGGCTACTTTGGCGGTGCCTGCGCCAACTGCAAGTGGTCGGACCACGCTGCTCGCTGCACCCTCCCTGTTCCAGGTGAGCCCGCCTTTGAACCAGCCACGGTGACCGAGCTGCCTGAGGCCCTGGCGATTGAGCTTCTGGAGGACTAGGCGTACGGGGGATTTTTGAGCTGGCCGGATGGCCGTGTGGAGGTTCCGGGGTTCTGGGTGGTGTCAAAGCGGTGGATGGATTTCTGGGTGTTCTCTTTGTTTTTAGCATTTTTAACGGAATCTGGGTCTCTGGCAGCAGTTGCCAGCAGTAGGAGATAGCAAACAATCACCTCTCCTTCTTACTTTTAAGAATTATGCCGTACGATAGGATAATAAAATTTTGATTGATCTTAGGGCTTCGACAAGCTATGTCACCAAGATATATATTTAACCGGATGATGGTTGACAGAAAGATTCTCCCTGTACGTAACCTATAGATTGACCCGGTGAAACTGCTGCCGTAGATACAAAAAGGCCTCACAGAGCCGGCTCTGTTTTAGTGGTGTATCTGCCCTCTGGGAGAGATATCGTACGAGGTCCTGCTCACTATGAATCTCAGTCCCCAGCTCTCGATACCATGTCTGCAGGATCGACTGGATTTGCTCCTGGATCTCACCCTGGGTCGCCACCCCATACATCATCATCGCCATCATTGGCAAAAGAACGTACGGATACTCACAGGGCCGCTGGCTTGTCCGACGGTCACAGATCGTCTCGGGAAGCCCACAATGAAAGCAGCAGGAGAAGGGTGTGAACCGGATCCGGCTCCGCCATTCAGAGTACCAAGCCTGGGCCTCGGTGCTCTGCGGGCTCGTACAATAAAGTAATTCATGCTCGTCCGGCTGCTGGTTGATCATACAGACCCAGCATCGGAGATTCCACCGCCCTAGCTCTTGTCGGAGATCCTCCTCGGTAGTGGTGTGGGTGTATCGATCCTTGTAGATATGGCTAGTCCGTGTCGTACGGGAGATATCCTGTTGCCGGATGATATGGCGGGCGGTGACTGGGACCGTACGAGGGGGGGGTCTGGGGTAGATGGAGCCTGAGGGGTAGAGGATCGAGGCGACGGAGACCGGGTGGGGGTTGAGACCGGTGGTGGCTGGCGGGCGTACGGGGGGGGACTTGATGGGTGATAGACCGGTGAGTAGCTCTCGTCGATCTCCATCAGAGGGGGTGGTCTAGATGGCCTGGCCGGTAGATCGATTTCAGCTGGAACGTAAGTGGCTTGTGAATGACCAGAGATATCATAATGGTCGTCCGAATCAGGTACCGGGGCATCAAAGACTGGGGGGTCAGCAGGGTCTAGGGAAGGCGGCAGGGCGGCGGTTATAGCGGGTGGGGAGATCTGCGGGGAGATCAGCCTAGGGGAAAGAGCCTCGTACGGATCACCAGGGGCACAGATCTCACAGGGGATCTCTGCTGCAGGCTCGGGCACCGTACGATCCTGGCAAGAGGTCCGCTCCTGGCCATCGAGATAGCGGTCGAGTAACACCCGGCGACAGGGCGGCTGCTCAGTCGCCAACCACTGCTGGACGATCTTGGCTTCCTCGGGGGGGGGTCTTCTCTGAATAGACCCACGATGGGGGCTGGGTCATCGTCCGAGGCTGGATCAGAATTGCCTCGCTCGGTTGGCCATCTCGTCCGGCACGGCCGGTCTCCTGGGCGTAGTCAAGAAGACTGTAGGGCCAGCCGATATGGATCACCGTCCGAATATCAGGGATGTCCATGCCCATACCTAGAGCACTGGTCGCTACCAGGATTGCATTGTCCGTACGACGGAAGCGGGCCAGGATCCCCTCCTGGTCCACTTGCTGCCGAGGCGCCCCGGCTATATCGGTCACGACCTTGGAGTAGAAGGCCTCACAGCCTAGAAGCGATGCCAGGAGGGTCACATGTCGTACGAGAGAGGCGTAGACTAGGACCCGGCCAGATCGGGCGTGGCGTCGGCGAGCCTGGATGAAGCGTACGATCTGTGGATCCTGGATCCACTGCTCCAGGCCCTGGCGGGGGAGATCGGTTTCCGGCCGGAAAGAACAGTAGGCGATATTAGGGCGGGTCGTACGGCTGTGATAAAGAAATATATCTTCCCGGGATAAGTGGAGCCGGCGCCAAAATATATCGTGGAGGCTAGGGGGGCAGGGTGGCGGTCAGGAAGACTGTTTGTACATTTATCTGCTGGAGACGGCCGATCTGGGCCAGCTCTGGCCGAAAGGTATCACTAGGGTTCAGGACCATATGGCATTCATCGATCACGATCCGATCCAGACGGTGAAGGGTCACCTGGCGGTTTAGGAACGTACGAAAGATATCACTCAGGGCGGACTCGGGGGTGACCAGAACGATCGAGGCTTCATCCGGGGGGTGGTGGCTCTCCCATTCAGTACAGCTGATACCTAGGCTCGTACAATGTCTCTGAAGCTCTTTGCGTAGGGCCACCAGAGGGACCACCACTACAGTCAGGCCTTTGGAGATCCACGCCGGAAGCTGGAATAGAAGACTCTTACCCCCACCGGTGGGCATAACGGCCACAATAGGACTGAAGCCGTGCTGGATCGCCTGGAGGACCTCTAGCTGCTTCTCTTTGAATCGTACGGAAGGGTCACCCAGGAAATGCTGTAATGCTTCCTCCAGGTTACAATTCGCAAATTCATAGCGGCGGGTCACCTGATTCTCCTGCTGCTCGTTCTCCCAGGGGGCATACTTCCGCTTCTTGTTTGGACGCTCAGGGGCCAAGGGGAGATCCGTACGGGGGAAGCCCAGGAAGTGATGCCAGTCCTGACTGATATGGCGGAATATCGTACGGCGATAGGCCATTGTGCCTGGGGCCTCATGGAGCTGGCGGGCGTACGCAAGGCCCGCAACATGAGAGGAGTGACCGGCCTGTAGATCCTGGAAATTCTCATCTGGATTGGTCTCAGGGTCCACAGCCTCGTCGGTCTCTCCGTCATCATTGGCATTCTGGGGGAAAGCACTGCTCGTACGAAGAAATCGGCGGCTAAGGGCAATCGCAATATGCCGCCACGCGGCAATATTCACTATCTGCCCATTGAGGCCGAGACGGGACTCTCGCTGGAGGACCTCCCGAAGCCGATCGGCGGTCCAGGGTCGTTGACTGAGAGGATCGGGGCCCCAGAGTAACGCCGTACGGGCTGTAGTGGGCTGCTGATCCCGAGGGCTGGTCAAGGCGTCGAACCGCTCCACCAAGGGTAGAATAAGCCACAGATATCGTACGAGTAAGGTACCAACGGACCGAGGCAGATATCGATGGATGATCTTTGGGTCGTTGTGGACGTGGAAGCCTTTGTGGTATCGGGTCGCAATCACCACCTGCCCATCCTCGATAAAGATATTCCGGTGGGCATTGGTGGTGTTGCGATGGCGGACGGAGAGGATCTCCGGGGCCCGCGCTGGCTGGCCACCACAGAGGTGGATCAGGACTGCGAGCTTCTCTCGAAAGAGACTCACCTGGGCCAGATATCGCTTAATGGCATTCGTACGGAAGCAGCCATGATCGATGTCCAGAAATCGCTGCTGGAGGACCCGGTCGGAGCGAAGACGCCTCACCAGCCACTGGTCCCCGCAGACCGGCCAGGTCGTACGAGAGTCGTGGAGAAAGCTCCATCCAGGCTTAGACTCTGAGGGATCGTCCATTATCGTCGCCCAGGGGACCAGGGGAGCCTCGGCCTCTGAGGGCAGGAGGAGTAGATCGGACGAGAGAAGATCCTGGCAGGTCTGGACAAGCCCGTGGATCCAGCCACGAAGGTCACCGGTGGTAAAGCTGAGCTGCTTATAGAGAAGGCGATCCGTGCCCACCCAGCCAATATGCCCAGGCTGGGTCGTACTAAAGCTCACCTTCATACCGTACGTACGAAGATCCAAGATCCACTGGAACGGGGAGTTGGTGCCCCGGAGCATAAAGCTCTTCATGATCAACTGGACCCATTCCTGAAAGGTCTTACCCGTACGGCTGCGGAGATGCTGGCTGTATGGGAGCGGGGCCGGGGAGGAGGAGTTGGGGGAGGAGGAGTTGGGGGAGGAGGGGATGGCCGGTGAGGACGGACTCTGGTATCCCTCATCATCGTACGAGCACCGATACTCAGGGTCATCCAGGGGGCTGATCAGGTCAAAATCGGTACTGGTCTCCTCCCCGCGGAAGTGTTGGACGATCTGCTCCGCGTGGGGATCCAGCCAGAGGGCCTGCCCCAGGACCAGAAACCGAGCGAGCTTGATCACCCTAGACAGGATCAGAGGGAAGGAATCAGCAGTATGCCAGCCCGTACGGGACCGGCCTAGCACAGCGAGGGCACAGACTAGAGCACACTCATATTCGTCCGCGCCAATCCGCTGGTTCAGTAGCTCGATACAGAAGTCCAGACAGGCCCGCTCGATAGGTTGGAAGTGGAAGGGCGAGGGTTGAGCTGGTGTAGCCGGAGCCGTACGGTCTTTATCACTCTCATAGGGGTCAGGGGAGGGAGAGCGGGTGGCCAGAGTCCAGAGGTGCTGCCACGCCTTCCGTTGACGGCGGTTGAAGCGATAGTGGGGGTAGGCCGGGTGGGAGGGCTCTGTGGGATACTGCGTACGGGCAAAGAAGCTGACTATCTGCTGCCAGGGGGTGATATGGGCCAGGATCGTCTCCGGGTCCATGTAGGCCTGCAGGGGAGTATGCGGGGACTGATCGATCTCCGTACGAACAATCTCCACCCGGATCAGATGGCCGCAGTGCTTGGCAATCAACTGGGCCGTACGGGCCATACTGACCATTGCCTGGTGGATCTTCCAGAGCGGATCGGACGCATCAGGCTCGGGGGTCTCGGTCAGCGAAGAGAGTATCTCTGGGTGTTGGTCCTTGAGATACTGCGACCACCGTGTACGACGTAGCCATGGAGTAGCCTCATTAAGCTCCACGGTCTCAATCGTACGATCTGAAGGCTGAAAGATCTCCTGGTGCTGCTTTTCTAGTTGGTCAAAGAGCTGGTCAATAGTAGAGGATGCTGACTCTGGCTCTGCTGATTCTGATCGTACGGGGTTAAGCACAGCAAAATAGTGAGAGGTAGGCCCTCGGCGATAGAGACGTTGGCAAGAGACTGAGTGCGTACAATTCTCTAAGAGCTGTTGGGTAGAAGCTGTAGAAATAGCTTGGGCAAGCCATTGGTGGGATGTCCGCCAGTGCTCTTTCATAACCTTGGTCGTACGACAGACATAGTGACAAGTAGGGGTAAATTGGCACTGAATACCATCATGATAAAGGGGAAGGTGAGGAAAAGGTAAAGGGCAGTTAGGGATAGAGTTAGGTGTAAAGGTAGCAAGTAACTGTGGCCAGAGGGTAGGGAGATATTCTTGGATCTGAGAAGCCGTACGAGCAGACAGAGAATGGGAAGAAGAGATTAGATGGGCTATAACTTGGCTGATTCGTACGGCAGATTGACATTTATAACAAATAAGAATAGGTAGAGTAGAAAGAGGAGTAAAGAGCTCCTGGGTAAGGGAGGGAATATTAGTTTCCATGGTAGTGGTTAAATTTGTGTAGTATGTAAAAGTGCTAGGGAAAGTAGCTCATAAAGTAGTGATCTATCTTCAGGGGTCGTACGTAGAATTAAGCTATCACAAAAGTTTTGTGTGGGTCTAAAACCAAAAGGTGGGTCTTCCCGGTCGCACCCCAACAAAATTATTTTAGGGTTTTAGGTGATTTAGGGTTAGCTCGTACGACTGCTATAGTAGACTACAGTGTCTAAGAAGAAAACTGGGTATAAATCTTATACACACTTAGAACTTCTGAAATTCTGAGGTTAATCGTACGAAGGAAATTGCTTGCAGTCTACCCTAGAAAAAGTGGTTGCAGTCTACCCTGTGGGGCGAATTCTGCCCATACTTAAGAACTTCTGACCGCCATGCAGTCAGGTAGACTGCACCAGGTCCCTTGGGTTAGGGCTAAGCTCTTCGCCCACCTCCAGGTTTCTATTATAGTCTTGAATGTAGAAGCGATTTGAACGAAATTTACTACCTGCTTAGTGGCCATCTAGAGAAGCCTTTCAGACGGAAATCTCATAAACACGAGGAGCTTGGTCAAATTTTTCCCCGATTTTCTATGAATGCTATGCCACCCTTGAAAAAGTGGATACTGATGCGACCAGTCTTTGGTGAAACGACAGCTGCAGGTGATTAAAACACAGTACATCTAAAGTTCTTCAAGTATCTGGATCCACCTTTTCAAAAATCGCTCCATCTCTTTCTTTGGGATTCGAATACTGTTGAAAACCAAACACAGGGTAAGTTTGTTTTTCCAAGAGTGAGAACGTGCAGAACTGTTTGATCCATTAGTTCAATTGAATGTAACATTGATACCCTTGGGAATATTTACACCTTGGCCATGCTTTGATTTGTCGCAACCTGAAAGGTCTCCAAAATGAATCTGAGACCACATTCTCCTGGCTCTGAATATGAATGACTGAGATGCCTTTCTCCGGGTGGGTCAGAAACATAGTACGGAGATGTCTGCGGGCGGCTGGGACTAGTTTTGACAGGGCTTTGATCGCATGACTCTGTTAGTTGAGTTCGAAGTTGCCCTGAGCTAAACTACACACCTTAATTTGCCAATTTCCTCCAGTACTCGGCCAATTATCTCATCCGATATTAGTGCCAAACCCTTTGACTTTGAAACTGCAGTATATTGAGTATTTATGTGGGCAGCAACCTTCCAGAACTGACTGGTATCCATGTTACTGCTAAACAGGCGGCAAGGAATGTCTATAACTTCACTAACAATAGCATTGAATGGGTATCGATTTCTATCGCCAAATGGTTGTTTCATTCGGCCATTATTGCGAAGGTCGATGGCTGCGAGGCTTGTATACTTTTCGGTGTATGTCGGTGGTGATTCGGCAAAATCATAGACAGCCTTAAATAACGCGGCCTGCAAAAGCGCTGTCAGCTTGACATAGTGCTTTCGGCATCTATCAAGAAGATCGGGAAGAAAGCTGTCGCTGTCGAAAGTATGCGTCAAGAAAGAAGAGCCTTGGTTCTCCTTCATCGCAGTAAGAATATCAGGTCGGTACAGGGGAAGACCAATGTCCGGCTACAGATGAGAAGTTAGGTTCGTAAAATGAGAAGAAAAAAGAAAATGCAGACGATGACCCACAGAAAATAGTCCGCTCATGAACTTGTCCAGGTCTCTTTGACATACTCTCGATTTCAGGGATACCATTTCTACTTCCGTAGAGATATCAATAGCTGCGGGTAGAAGCCGATCATTTTCTTGGCCCCAGTAGATCGATTCTATAGTTGAGCCTCCAGCCATAAGCGCTAAAAACGAATCGAGGATGCTACGCAAGCCAGACCCATCAACCAGTGCATGGTGAATATGAATGAGCACATCGAAAGCAACGACGTTCTGGCTTGCGCCTTTGCGTGTAGGGACAATATAGACAAAACAGCAGTCGCCATCTTCAGAAGGTAAAGAAGCCTCTTGGGTCAGTTTCTCGCGCAACGAGACCCAGTTGTCGTGGTCCTTGACCAAATGCACTGTTCTCTCAGCCCAGGCCTCTACATCATCCGCCGAGCCACAGCTGTAGGTCATCTGATTATCATCAATAATTCGACAAGCCACGGTGGGATAAGTCCAGCGAGTCCCCTGAAATGCCAATTTGGCTCTTTCTTCGAGATCGATATCCGAAAGACATAATCTACTTGTGTCCAATAGACCCTGAATTGACACCTGAGCACCGATGTAGGGGCAGTTTTGACCGTAGAATAAGTTATTCAGAATCACAAACATGCGTTCTAGATTGGTCAAAGGTCTATTGTACGTAAGCCCTCCATCGCAAGTTTCCCAGCCGTACAGTGCTTCGGTTGCTGCCGCCAAGGCCATAATAGATGCGGAATTCTATAGTGTCTCAACGTTTCGAAATCTAACTTGAGATTCAATCTTCTGTATGATAGCAATGGAGCGAGACGTCTGCATAGATAAATATATATACTTGTCAATACTGTGCTATCGGGCCATCAAGAACCATTTGAGATACCGGCGTAAGCTCCAGAGGAATCGATCCAGAACAGGCTCAAAGCGTAGACGGTGCCAAGTTTTTTACCGGTTGGTGGGTTCTATCGTCATATACTGGGACTGATTGGCGTGTGTTTATGCCGGGAAAGCCGCCCGGCGGTCCTAAGAGCCAGGACCAAAGACCTGCATTGACCAGTCGGGTATGGTCAAGTGGTTAGTCTTCGAGGTTTTTTCTTAGGCCTAAATAGCGCTAAGGCTAGTGCCACTAAGGCAATCGGCATCATATCCAAATGTAGACAATGCCAAGAGAGGCAATGCATAGAGATTTCATACATCATAAACTATAATCCCTGAGTATTAGTGTACCAACTAAAATAATCGGCACTATTTGTAAATGTACATAAAGCCAAAAGGACCAACACGTACTATAATAAGCTATATTTAGCACTTTTCTCCTGGTTCTCTCAGTAAATCAGACATAGGTTTGATAGTGTAATGTTCGGATGTAATTAGTCAGCTTAATCTCTTTTAGATGTTGGTTGAGGACGAGTCACCAATCAGCAAGACTTTGTGGTTTCACAATGACAATAGAATGAAAGGAGGAAGAGATGTTGCTGCTAAAATATTGAAGGCTACGTAAGCACAACGCCAAATACGTCAATTGGAATCTTAGAGGCCAATACTATATTCGGTATGTATCGTCCCATTTTTGCGCTTTGTTACGTGTCCCCTTGTGTTACTATAGCTTCTCATGATTAAGCAATATTCTTAGTGAATTATCTCGCAAAATATTTCTCAAATTTTCAGGATCACATTTATGGTAGCTAAAGCGATATTTGCTATTATTCGCACTAAGGTAGGATGAAGTGGAGTGAATGTTGATGACCTGTGGGGTCCGTGCAGAATCAACCTTGGCATTTTACTATCTTGGCAATAGTGCTTACATATGATTTTGTAGTCCATCAGTAAGATCTCTTTCACGCTGCTCGGGTGGAGAAGAATGGATCTTGGCATTTCCCTGAACAAAAAGCCAGGAAGAGATTAACTTTTTCGATGAGTTCTTGGCCCTTCCACACCAGAATAGGATCGAAATATGCAAGCAAGCAATTACGTCTATGCATAACATGGACTTCCGGCGTAAATTTGACTAGCTTTGGAACACGTTTATCTTAGTAAGCCACTTGCGAATCTAATATAAACGATTAGCCTGCTAGATCCATTTACTTTCAATTCTACGCATTTGCATCAGGATACCTACATACTCAAGGTTCGAGATAAAATACTCGATATATCATCAAGTTTCAGCGGATATGGTGATTAGAGTCGCATTATTAGGGGCAGGGCATTTTATCCAAGATGGTATGAACTCCTACTCGAAGCCTCTCAAAGATATGCTTCTTAATGATCTCCATACAGAGCACCTTCCCGCAGTCAAAAGCTGCTCGAAAATGAGTCTCAAGGCAATATTCTCGCGCTCCGAGAGTTCAGCAGTGGCCTTGGCCAGTCTTGAAGGCGTAGATGCATACTGGTCGTCACCAATAGCTCCATCACGTTCCCTCGAAGCCCTTCTTGCACGGGACGACATCGACGCGGTTATTATTGCTTTGCCCATCATGATCCAGCCAGATGTGATTAGGCAGGCAATTGAAGCCGGAAAGCATGTTCTGAGCGAAAAGCCAATCGCCAGTAATGTTGACGACGCCCTTAGCTTGATGGTGTGGTACCACGCTGCCGATAGGAAGGAGGTCTGGAGTGTGGGGGAAAACTTCCGCTTCATGGACACAATGGTTCTAGCAGCAAATAACCTCCGCGCTCTGAATGGCCGCCTACTGAGCTTTTCATTGAGCTTCTATCATATGATGAGAGAAGATGATAAATTTTATAACACAGATTGGTACGTTTCACAATCAGGGAATTGTTTGTCAGATCTCAAGTCGATAGTATCCGTCGACAATGTGTGACCAAATACTAAAATCACTTGCTAGGCGCAAAAACCCGCTCCATCAGGGTGGATTTGTTCTCGATGGAGGTATTCATTTCGTAGCCGCATTACGTCTACTTCTTGCTGCAGCTGGAGACGAGATATCTACCATAGCGGCCATCACATCACTCTCCCAGCCAAGACTCGCACCTTTAGATACTCTAAGTGCAGTCGTCGCGACCAAGGGAGGTGGTTGCGGTACAATCAGTATGAGTTTCGGAGTCGATACCTGTCCGAAAAACTTGGAGATCCTCATGGTGACGGAAAATGGTACAGTGTCTGTTGCCTTTGACACTGTCAAGGTTACAACTATAGAACTTGCTCAACAAAAGACTCATGAGCTCTCTTCTACATTCGATATGGGAGTCAAGAATGAGGTAGAAGCCTTCGCGTCGGGCTTGATCAATGGAGTCTCAAATGAGCAGCAGTCTATTGACCAGGCCTTTGAGGATCTCAAGCTCATGGATCGTATGCTTAGATCTGCCGGAGAGAAAATAACTTGGTAGCCTTGCTCAATACAGTATACCCGCAGATAGTCTCAAGGCTTTTCACCATCAGATTCATAATGCAAGCTCTCTCTTGTGGCTGACTGTATTGAAGTAATTTGTGCAAAGGCTCGGAGAGTGGCCACAAAGCCAACAATGTTACACCAATAGCTCATGTTGTATCTCAAGCATAGCTCCTACAGCAGCCAACTTCATTAAGACAAATACTCTTCTGGTATCAATGTTCTACACAAAGAATCATCGGAACCTCGTAGGATGATTAAGAGAGATCGTAATTAGACTTGGGCTCCAAGCACTTTATAAGAGCTAGTCTATAGGAATGTTTCCACTTCTTTTTCTAAAACATCCCACAGCCTCGTTCCGGAACCACGCTCCGCCCAACCCTGCCCCACGCTTGAGTTCAACTTCCCTATGCGGCCCCATGGTATGAGATAAGCGCCATTATTTGCAAAAGAAACCTTAGGCGAAAAGCCCGCAGCGAGCTCTGTTATGGCTCCATAATACGGCGGGTATAGCAAGAACGAAAGATATTTGCTCGCTCCTGTCCGTGCATGCCGATTAAGGTCGCTCTTCAGGTGACCAGGATTGACCGACTTGTTTAAGTAAGCATTGTCCTCGACATTCGTGACTTTGTTTCTTACCACACTGATTATTTTATCTTTCGCCAGCCGGGCCGCATTCTCAAGCGCCAAGATTGAACACCCTGCTTTGCTCTGCCCGTACTTCACCATGCTCGAAGCATGTTCCTTTTCATAGCTGATATCGCTCCAGTTAATTCCATCTGGCTTTGGGCTAAAGAAGCTGTGGCTATCACTGCCGACCCATATTGTACGGACACTGCCGCTCGGTAACCTGGGATCCTTGGCAGTAGTAACCAACATTGGCGTCAAAAGAATATTGAGGAGAAAGTGGGCGATAACGTTGGTGCCCCACTGCTGTTCATGGCCTTGTGTCGTTTTCACACCCGCGGGGGGGATTCATAACTCCTGCATTGTACCAGACGCTGTGAAGAGTGGTCTCCATCTCCATGAATTCAGCAACGGCTGGCTTTATTGTCGATAGGTCGGAAAGATCTGCGTAAAGAAACACAAGGTCGCCTTTGGGTACATGTTCAGAGTTCGGCTTCTTGACTGCGTCTATCTTTCCCTGAGCAGACGCTCGGGATCGGCCTAGAATGTACACTCTGCCATTCTTTTTAAACAGCAGCTTTGCCAATTCCCAGCCGACACCGCCTGTAGCACCAGTAATAAGATAGACCTTGTCAATGCTCTATATTAGAGTCTCATTCCGTTATTGTCACCAAGGATGACATACCTTTCCAGAGAGATCTGGAACGTTGTTCTCTGTAAATTTGGGCTTTGGAGGTTTGAAATCCGAGATAATTTGTCCAAGGCTCATTTTATTAGGACAAGGCGAAATTTTTAGGGAATCTGTGAAGAGAAGCGTAGTATGGGCCTAAACAAGATGGGCCGATACACCAGGCAGGTTACGAAACAGCTTCTGGTTCCATTATTATAACTTGCCATCTACTTCACCCGCGTATTTATACCCCGTTATACTCTCTCGCCGGACAGGTATATTCTAACCAAAAATCCCATCATGTGCGGCTATTTGACTAAAAGCAGACCGCAATCATCTGGTTGCGTCAGGGGTTAGTGGAGATAAGGCAAGCTGCTGTGAATCGAACCCACATCTGCATATGCTTCAGCTCGCTTGAGTTCGATTGGTTGGAACAAGAAACTTTTTGGATGGAGCCACCTGCGAGGGAGACCTTGGCACAAGCCTAACTGGGATTAGATCCCAATCGACCCGGGGGCAAAGCGGGGCTATCCATGCAACCCATTTCGAAGGAACAGTTGTCTTTCATTTCATTATCTTGGCCACACCGACGAATAGCAATTGTTGGCCCACTTCACACATATTGATAAATAGAGAAGTCGGGCGTGTAAAGTACGGATAAGAAACGGAAGTGGGCCTTTGCGGTTCTAGAACCAGACCTGACCTGGAAAAATGCGACTTCTGCCGAACGTATCGTTTAGAGATTTCCCATCTTCCAACATATATAAATCTATGAAATTCCCAGGTTTTTCTTACTTCCATTCTAGAAACCTAAAAAAAGCCGCACTCAGCCGCAGACTCTCTTGGGACCTTCTCTCAAATTCAAAACATGTTATCCACAACGAAGACGGCAGATTTGGCAAAAGATTCGTCAGCATACTGGCGTATCCCATCTCGCAACTTCCGAACCTCGGCACGCCTACATCTCCAGCACTTTCTGTTCCAGAACACTCTTGACAATATACTCCTTAGTAGTCATATTAAAGAGTCTCTTTCAACCAAATCTACAATCAGAGTTGCCGACCTTGGGTGTGGTAATGGTGTCTGGCTAACAGATTTACATCGTAGCCTATCATCGGCCGTGCCTGATGCGATGCTCCAGCTCCACGGCTTTGACATCAATCCAACAAACTTCCCAGCGGCCGAATTTCTGCCAAAGTCGGTAGTATTGAGTACTGTTGATGTGCTCGAAATGCCATTACCGGCGGAGCTGCTGGGCACTTTTGATGTTGTGCATCTACGAGCATTCGTGAGCATTATACGCAACTGTGATCTTACCCCAATTTTGACCACTGCCATTTCTCTCCTGAAGCCTGGTGGCTGGATACAATGGGAAGAGACACGCGCCGACAATTTTATGACCATATCGCCGTCTCCAGATCTGCCTAAGTCCGCATGTGATGGTATAATTCACACTCTTCGTGAAAGTGGCAAGTCACAAGGCCTCGATTTTAGCTTTCTGGACTCTCTAGACAGGTACCTGATAAAGCAAGGCTTTGAAGAGGTTCAGTTACAACAGGTCAATAAACGGAATGCTGACTTGAAGGCATGGACAGAAGACTATCTGATGGTGGTAAGTAATTGTTAATACCAACAACTTTCCCCCTCAATATTCTAGAAGCCGGATTATTCCTTGTCAAGCTTCTACGAGCTTAGAGCAGCAATTGTTAACTGTTCACCACAGTGGGAGGAACTGGCGGAGATGCTTCCAACTCTCGACCAAATACCACAAGCAGGATTGACCAAAGAAGTATTTTCGGACCTATTTGCAAGGGCTGTAAAAGAAACAGAAGCTGGCGTGGTAGTACACCAAGCAAAAATAATTATTGTGGTCGGAAAAAAGCCTCTTCAACGGATTATTAGTCTATAAATGTATGATTTGACCTTTTGCTTCTTAGAAAGCTTTGTTTGAATTTAAATATGACCAAGCTAAACCCCACGATTGAATGAACATGAGCAATTCTGCGGTTAGGCTAGGTGCAGCATGGCTCAATTTTTGTATACTTGGGATTGATTTTTTTTTCAAAAAATTGGAGGAACCGCTCATCATCAGTGAGTAGATAAAATATGACTGCTTTTATGCCGCCCCCTGTAGCAATAACGTACGGATTTATTTGATAGATGTTGACGCATACATGTTCAATAATCGCCGGCTCGATAATAAATCCAATCTTTGAAGGCATGTTCTGGCTCTACTAGTTTCTGGGCATCACTGCCATCATAGTTGGCGGCCAACTCATGATCGTCTACATTGGTGGTGCGGCCTTCGGTGTGACCCGAATCGGTGGCATTCTCTGGGCCAATTTGCATGATATGCGCCCTTGGTTGCCTCCCATGTGCCGTCAACCTGTTTATAATTCAGGAGCGAGGTTCTACTTAACGCAATAGTCGGCGCAATGACGTTTATCCTGCTTCTGTTATTCAAGGGTTTCAACGCCTTTCTTCGCGGCATGAAGGATTTTTGTTGCCATTGAAACGATATACACACCGGGCCTTCTCTCGGCAAAATACAGAAATTGATGATTACACGACTCATGAGCTATCTAGTGCGCGAATTACCGATAAAAACAAATCTACATTCACGGCACCGATTGGCCCATTATTCCTTGGCATATATCATTAGTATTCATAGCATCCAACGATAGCATTGATATCAACGACCACAGGCTCCCGGATGTCAGGGTGAGATATAAGCCATTATTTCACCCAGGCCTTGTGCGTTTGTAGGCATTCATGGCTCTGATTAGCTTATATCTCTTTGCAGCGGTGCCCAGTTTCACAAATCCACTTAGTTTCCGGGAATTCGATATGGGTATTGCTGACGGGCTATCCAATTACGGTAGGTGGAATGGTAAGCTCGTGCTCCCAGGAGTTCATAGTCAAATTTGGACCTATCATTTCTACTGAGATTTTTGGCACATGTGGGTTGTTCATCGCACTGATTGGCTCACTATTTCTTGGTAAATATGATTCTATTAGTAGAATCCAATGATCGCATCAATATTTACGACCCACAGGCTCCTGGAATCCAAGGCCAAGTATAACCAATCATTTCAAAGAAGACTGTCAGCGCATCGAGTGGTATTTTACCACTAGCAAGCGATTGATTACCCAGGAACCCACATTTCTTTGTGTTTTGTATGGTAAATTGGTTCAACTAGCAACCTCGGTGTAATAACCACCGAGTATACGCACATACGGGGGGTATTTCAACCTGCCCTCGATCGCATGCTTATTTCGATTCAATCAATCAATCATTTTATCCTGAATTGGTTCCGCTTGATCTCATTCGTCCTGAATGCATACTAGTCCATACGCTTTTAGCAAGTGCTGATAAGAGATTACCATGGCATACGGCAGAAACGGAAATGGAAATGTCAAAGTTTAACTGTGAAAGTTTAACTTACGTCGGATACCTTGCTCGTTGCTGGGCTTAGCGAGCCAGAGTTAGTGTCAGACCCCGAGATTCTTGACCGGATTGAACGGCTTGACGAGCTTTTTGATCTGCTACTATGTAATTTCGGCCTACTGGCACGTGGCTTAGTGCGACTTCGGAAAAGTCTAGGATCGTTGGCCATTTCGGGACTATCTTCGTTCGTTGGACAGCTATTGAGAGTAGACAGTAAGATAATATAGAAAAGGGCGGAAAGCTCTGGGATGCCTTTTTATAAAGGTTTAGGTGGGGCCTAGGACAGCAAGTGTGAAATATTGTGAAACGCAGTATATTGTCCGTAGAGATGATTTTGATGGTACTAACATCAATATTATGAGTGAGCCTACGGATTAGGCTCTGCGGGGCGTAAGTGGAGGTACAGAAAATTAAAATGATCGTTGTTTAGTTGTGGAGGATACATATGATAGCCCACCAGTATAGAAGTTTTAATTATAATCTACTACTACGTGCTCCTACTCTATAATCTGCCTTGAATGTTCTGAATTAAAACGCCTCACTTTGAGACTAGATCTATTGCTTGGCTTTCTTCAACCAGTAATCTTCCTCGGTGACAAGGCTAGGTCGATATGGCCTTTGAAACATATGTAGACCCAAGGGAGCGCGAATACAGTTTGAAGCCACTATGAAACCATCACTGTTATCTTTAAAGCTAAGCTAAGAAAGTTGATATGAAGGCGCAACTAAACTAGTTTCCTCAGCAACTATAAACGGATATTCTACCTATGGATATCTGGTCTGCAGGGCCCCAGAACCTTATAATGACTTTCTCACTAAGTACAATGGACCGATAGGGGCAGTCAATCATTGAATTGTGAGGTACTGCGGTGTAGGTTTTGGGATAAGATTGCTTGGCACGACCAATAGGCCATTATCTAAACTCTTAGGTGGATTAAGTAGAATCTACGATGGCCTGGGCACAATTTAATTTCTTAGAATGATGCACAGGGTAACATCCAGATGGTTACAACGTGAGTTATTTGGACTGTGTAGAAATGGCACCTGAAGCCTACTGATCAGTTATGAAAATGCTAGATTTTAGCACTGGGCAATAATGTCCGACGAGATCAAGGAGAACTAACTCCCTCGGTCAAAGTGGATATATGCCCGCCAATATTCCATAGTGGATTATGCTGGGGACACGTTTCTTAAGATTGTGTCGTATATTTAGTAGTACTAATTCCTCGGAGAATTCACAGGGTGTAGTCTAATGTCATTGAGGTTACATGTACTGGATACTGATTCAATGGGTAAATCGAATCCACAACGCAACTGAATCATGATCATAGGCCGGTTCTCTTTACCTATTAATTCAAATTTTTATATCATCGAACTTATTATTGCTATTGAAACACTACTTTGCCTCCAGCTGTTTTCAGCATATAGAATTGGGGAACCCGACAAAAGCCGAGATTGGAGTGCCAGACTCTGTCTTCTGCTGGAACCATGGTTGCCGCACCCTTGCTCGCCCAACCCCGTTTTTCTCCACTACTAGACAGTGCAGATCTTAGCACATAGTGGGCTTTTACATGGTGCAGAGGAAAGAACCTTTTTCAGGAATAGCATGAGTGATGCTGAGTGGTGGAAAATACTGCGATTGAAAAACATTGAATCTCTGACAATGCTCGCGGATGTAAACAAGGCCCACGAACTAATAGAAAGAAAGGCCTCATTTTTAGACTATTAATAGGAGTGACTACGGTAAAAAAGACCATTCGAAGTTTTCCTGGATCGTAGATGTTAGGTACTGATAGAGGTTTGTACGCTTACCCTGATTCTGTCTCCAATGATGTTTATTCTAGTCAGTCGACTCACAATCAATATCAGTTTCAGCTGAGTACCAGGATTCTGTGCCCGAAAGTTCCCAGATACCATAGGGCAGGATGAGTGAATTGATAGTGATCATAGACTTGAATACTTGCACAATGGAAGGTTGAGCCGTTGTCTCCCAGAAACGAACCCATTGTTCTCGACCAGTAGATTCCGTGTCCTTCTAGAGCTTCCCTGATACTACAAAAGTAACCAAGGATTCACCGTCATGAATATTCATGCCATCCAGTATCGTCATTGCTTCGCCGGTACCATTTCTTGATCTTATTATCTCATCCCGAAGAGAATTACTTTCCAGCATAATGGCTTTCATTTGCCGGCGAAGGCTGTTAACCACAGAGCAAAGGCCTTTTCCATCGCAAAGCAATTCGTGCAACTGCGCACTTGTGTGATTGCAATGTACAGTACTTGCTGATCCTCAATTGCGCTTTCAAGCATGTGGATCTTGGCCGTAAATTAGATGCATAAACTGATTGAGTCACTAACCTGCCAGTCATTGTTGATCAGTCTATAGAATCTCCGTACAGTACATATCGACCAACAGAAATTAACCCTACCCCACCTCATCCCCAATCTAACATCCACCATCTACCTTGTGCCAGGGACGGTAGACGCGCTTCAACTGCCGAGGATAGGATGTTCAACACCTGGAGAAGCGCCTGCAAGCATGTCTACTAACCAATCACTAAACCATAAGGACCCGCTATGATGTTGACACCTGAGATGACATATACTGATAGGAATCCTGTATGGGCTTCAAGGACGCACAGAATGAGCTAGAGTATGTAGTTTTAGATCAGTGATAGTTGCCATTTCGGTTCAGTCACCGGGAGTTGATGAATTGTGTGTGTAGAGTTATCAGACACAAGAACTGTACTGTAAGTCTCTTTAAAAAAGATATTCTATACTGTAAACAAGACGCATCTGTAAGTATCGATTTATGGTTTACGTTTAGGCTGGTATTTCATCAACTAGTTTGTAATTTTTCATGACGACATCTCTTTTAAGTGCGTACATTCGGCGGTGGCTCACTTCTTGAAGACGCAATGGGGGCCTCTTGAATACCTGTCGTGGCATAACAGCAGCTCTAACGCCATTATTAACTTGGCTCCGTAATTCGTGACCTCTGAACTCCTGTGATACTCAATCAAAATCCGAAACGACCCTTCTTTCGTCTGAGCCTCGCTACGGAGTCGAAACAAGGTTAGATTTCAACCAAAGATGTATGGATATTGTTCAAGATTGATGACCTCTGTACTGTATCAAGGGGACTCTTTTGGCATCTAATAATTCTACTATGATAATCTCAACTTAGTGTATCACTCAGACGTAATCATATTCACAGAGTTCTAGCCAGCATATACATAATGTTAGAAAGATGACATTGTCGAGGTGGCTGGATTGTTCAACAAAGGCAGTAGTACACCTTCAAGAAAGATTGTCTGAATTGAAAAAATTCCTTCCCCGAGTAGTTGGGTTATGAACAACTACTCCGTGCTCCACTTCGGAGAGGCATAACCCTGCGCTGTCCCTTACGAGGCATTGTGCTCTTCTCCCACTATAATGCCAGTAAAACATAGCTGCCGGCCGACCAGGTGCTATAATTTCGGCAAATTGCGGGATAGTTCTGTCTTGATTTCCATCAACCTCACAAGCAGCCGGTAACTATTGCATCTTTTTGGGCTTCGCAATGGAGGCCAACAAGGCGCTTCAGTCTACTAAGGTTCGGTATCCGTTGTCTAGTAGAAAACATGTCTAAAAACCTCTAGGTTTCTAGGCTCGGAAACTGTTAGCCTTCGCACCCCATCGAGCTCTGAAACATGGAAAATCCATCGAAAGCTGTTAGTGTTGAATGCAAAGCTTTAGAATCTGCTTTTTCTCACGACGTACCTCTGAACAGTACACATTCAACGAAAGAACCCATGATACTGTTGCACGTTTCATCGAATGGGCATACCGGTCAGCTATCGCATGATGGAATCTTTAAACCCAGCCAATAAACCTTCTTGGAATATCAAATTGTCAAAATATCGTTCTCGATGCTCGCGCTGACGAGTATTATGCCTATGAAGACTAGTGGAAAAGGGGAAGCATGCACGAGATCAAGCTCTCATTTCTTCAATACTATAGCAATATCACGCTCTCGTGACATTCGCCAACTTCAAATTTGCTTAGTGCAACAGGAATTGATTCTGAAGATGCTGCCGGATCCTTGGGTTTAACCAGCCTATCCTAAATTTACACATTAATTGATTCGGCGATGCACCTTTGTAGTTATCTAATCTAATACTTTCAAGTAGACTTATGTGGAAATGACACAAAGCCGAAAGCGAAAACTCCAGTAAACATTAAATCAACCACAGAACATTTGATTATCTAAACTAATCCCGAATATGATTTTGGTCTTTACACGTATTAGTTCATCCGTTCGGTAAAAAGGCTTGTCGTACTCAAAGACCGCTTGTCGAGTAGCTTTTGGGTATCTAAATTCGCCCAATATCCAAGATTAGTGAAATTTTGGAATACGGATTCACTGATATCTAAATCTGTGATACTGCACCCCAGGCATTTATCAACAACCCGAACATCAATCACCTGTTCGTTGTAGGCATGCTTAGTGTTTGCACGTCTGAAGGGCACCAACCTGAGTGCTCGATCTTGAGGTAGCTGAGGACTCGATTGGGAATCCTAAAATTCGTCGATTTGATGTATATTATGGAGATAGTTTTTTGTTGTGTCAGTCATTATGGTGATATCTGGCAGTCTGCTAACATGGATAATGAGTCTGCTAACATGGATAATGAACTTTTCAAGACGTAATCAATAACAAAAGAAAATGATTGCGTGCTTGCTCAGAGTAAATACAGTAACCGGGTGCTCTTTTTCGCTCTAGAAAGTTGATTGGCGGTGATTTCTTACCCCTCACAGATACAGATATGAGTGCTAGTCATTCCCTACCAAAGCAGTACCAGTGGAAGTAGTATATTTGAGGATCGTCTGTATCATCTGATCTGGATTCAGAGGCTTTGACAGGTAGCAGTCCATTCCCGCCTCAATACATCTCTCGCGGTCGCCAAACATAGCATGGGCGGTGAGAGCAATAATCGGCATGCGTGGCAGATTGAACGAGTGTTCATGCTCCCGAATTTTGGCGGTGGACTCAAACCCACCCATGACTGGCATTTGAATATCCATCAAGACCGCATCGAATTTCCTTTCTTTGACTTGCACGAAGGCATCCAGGCCATTATCGACCACAGTTACATAGTGATTGTGCTTCTCAAGGATTTTGAGAGCTACTTTCTGGTTGACCTCGTTGTCCTCGGCCAGCAGGATTGATAAAGAATATGTCTGGCCTTTGGTGATTCGGGACGGCCGGCTCTCGAACGCGGGAAGTATGCCATTCCCAAGGTCGATCAAATGACAGGGATTTGTCACATATGAGGTGATGCACAAATCTAGTGCCGCCTTCATGCTTACTGATATCGCAGGTCCTATTTGGACGGCAGGAACCGATTTAAAGTCATCCAAGGCTCTTAAACCAATTAAGGTCTCCATAACCTCAAAAATGACAACTTCAGCTTGCAGAACTTCTCTCATTTGGAAGTGGTCAGCACTGATCTGCGCCAGTACGCGGATGGTGGGACTCTTAATGGGAAGAAGCTTGAGTTCCGCTAATATGTGGCATATCTGTTCCGAACGATCCTCGTTACAGCCCTCAATAAGAAGAAGGACTCCGTGGCCTTGGTAAGGCATTAACCGCTGGGACATAGCTTCAGGAGACAAACCTCCTCGCTTAACGGTGCATGTAAAATGGAAGGTGCTGCCTGAACCCACATCTGATGTGACCCATATATCGCCATCCATGAGGTTCGCTAGTCTCTTTGATATTGACAGGCCAAGGCCTGTGCCACCGAACCTTCGGGTCGTTGAACCGTCGGCTTGCTGAAACTTGTCAAAAACCAAGTCGAGCTTGCTATGATGTATACCAATTCCGGTATCTGAAACAGTGAACTCAAGGCGACATTCATCAAAATCACCTTCTCTTGGCTCCTGTTGCTTCACAGTAAGTTGGATCTCTCCATGCTCGGTGAATTTGATGGCGTTCCCGATCAGGTTCAGAATGATTTGTCGGAGGCGGAAAGAATCTCCGACAATGAAGTCAGGCACAGAGTTGTCAACCATGTAGGTGAGACTTAGTGCCTTTTCATTGGCTTCAACCCCAAGAGCCTTCAGAGCGTTAAAGACTATATTGCCAAGACTGAAAGGAATATCTTCAATAACGACATGGTTTGCTTCAATCTTTGAGATATCAAGGATGTCATCGATGATAGTGAGCAGGCTATTCCCAAGGCCGTGCACAACATTTAACATCTCTCTTGCGCCTGGTTGAAGATCGTCTGTGTCAAGAGTCAACTGCGTCATACCAATGATACCATTCATTGGCGTTCGGATCTCATGGCTCATATTAGCAAGGAATTCCGATTTGCTTCTGTTAGCGAGTTCGGCTGCTTCTCTTGCCGCAGTGTTGCGCTGAATACTCTCGCGTAGATTCGAGACCATCTTGTTAATCTTTTGCTTGAGCTCGTCCATCTCCCCAGATGCACTGACTGTGATCAATTTGCTGAAATCTCCGTCCGTGGCTGCATTTGTGATCTCTCCGAATGCACGAACCTGGGAAGTCAAATTGTCGGCCATGATATTGACATCCTCGGTGATCTCTTTCCATCGACCGCCCATGCCGGCGATGCTAGCCTGCCCTCCCATTCTTCCCTCCACGCCAACATCACGTGCGACCCGCTTGAGTTCTTGAGCGAACTGGTCCAGTTGATGTACCATATCATTGATTGTTTCTTTCAATGTCAAAATCTCCCCCCGGGCATGGACCACTATCTTCTTGCTTAAATCCCCTCTAGCAATACCCTGAGTAACTTCTGATATCGCTCGGACTTGGGAAGTCAGGTTCTGAGCCATTGTATTCACGTTGTCTGTCAATGTCTTCCACTCGCCCTCGACATTGGCGACAACAGCCTGGCCGCCGAGTGTCCCGTCAATTCCGACTTCACGTGCAACTTTGCTGACCTCAAATGCAAATTGGTTCAGGCGATCAACCATGTCATTTATCGTATGCTTCAGGTCCGCAATTTCCCCTTTGACATTAGCAGTCACCTTTTTCGTAAGATTACCCCTGGCCACAGCCGTGGTAACATCTGCTATCTCTCGCACCTGGGTGGTAAGGTTCATTGCCATCCCGTTGACATTCTCTGTCAAGTTCTTCCAAACCCCTTCAACATCGTGAACTGTCGCCTGACCCCCGAGAACGCCATCTGTGCCAACCTCTTTCGCTATCTTCGTGACTTCCTGCGCGAATTGTCGGAGTTGGTCGACCATCGAGTTGATAATTTCTTTCAGAGCAAGTATTTCGCCTTTGCATTCAGCTTGAACCTTCTGTGTGAGGTCTCCGGTTGCGACTGCAGTTGTTACCGTGGCGATATCACGAACTTGTGTTGTCAAGTTATTCGCCATGGCATTGACATTGACAGTGAGCTCCTTCCATATTCCCTGCATGCCGTAGATTTGTGCTTGTCCACCAAGGACGCCTTCAGATCCAACATCTCGCGCAACACGATTGACCTCCATGGCAAATGTACGAAGTTGGTCCACCATCGTGTTAATGGTCTGCTGGAGATTGAAAATCTCGCCTTTGGCAGGCCGTTCAATTTTCTGACTCAGGTCGCCGTGAGCGACCGCTGTAGTAACAAGGGCGATCTCACGGACTTGGTCTGTGAGATTGGATGCCATGACATTTACGTTATCGGTGAGCTCCTTCCAAACGCCATGTACCCCGACGATCTGCGCCTGACCGCCCAGTATACCGTCTGTGCCCACCTCTCGTGCCACTCGGGAGACCTCGCTCGCGAATACCTGCAACTGGTCCATCATTGTGTTGATCGTAACTTTGAAAGTCGTAATGTCAGGATTCATCTCGAGTGGATGGATCTGAACTCTCGTGGAAAGGTCTCCATCCGCGACTTGAGTAATGATTCCTCCGATTTCCTTGAGCGCCTTTTGGAAAGCTTCATTCGTCTGCTGGCGCTTTTGCACCTCTTGCTCCATACCCTGGAGGTGATAGAAACGACGGATCAGTGATGGAAGTAGGTGCTCCAGTTCCGTCCTTGGCTTGCTTTGTGGCCCTGGCAGTCTCCATAATGCATTGTCTCGCAGGATCTTGGAAAAGTCAGCTCGGAGGAACGAACAAGCCTTGAATTCAGACTTGCCAATGTTTGATTGCCTTCAATAAGTTCTTGGAGAACTGCGGCTACCGCAGAAAGCGTCTCGTCTTTTGAGGACATCGTCACTTGGGGATGACCGGGCCGCGAATCTTCGATGAAATCAACCATGATCTTGGTTATGTATAGCGGGAGTCAATCTCTCCGCACAGAGATAAAATCCAGTGATGAGACTAAGTCGAATGCTAATTCTTATGGCTTTCAACTAGCAAATACCACGTCCTCTTATAATCTAGGCCAGAGAGACGTCTCTTTGAGCGAATGAGACGCGGTTCAATAGATGCACTGGGAAGGTGATACACTCAGGTGGGCCCTTCACCTTTTTTACGTTTTTCGTAGCATCACTTGTAAGGGAGGCCTGATGTTGTTCCGTGGCTACAGTATTCCCCATTTTGACACTTGATGTGTCTTTCTCCAGTGTGGTGCGTCTGCATCGCCTCTGCAAATTACGACAAATAGGCTTTGAGAATTGTGGGAGCAGTCGACCTAGAAGCACGCCACGCGCCCATCAGGCAAATTTTGCCGAGCCATCACCGCCGAAGCTTAATTTCGCACTAGAGAGAATTTCTTGGAACAGAAATGTACGTCCAATCAGGTCCATGGGTAGTTGTCTGAATTGTTATGCCTGTACCCATACAAACCTGTATGGGTGTGAACATGACTAATCTCGGCTAGTCTATAAACAGCAAACTAATACACATCCTGACAATACTGAATCTCCACCGATACTGACAGAATTCGAATTTTCTGTCAACCCCTCGCATTTTATCGGACGCTGTGGACAAGCGAAGGATATTGTTATGATACTGGTGGAGTGAACGATTCTTTTACAACCATTAGTCCTACGTAACGCTGAACTTTTGATAAATTTCCAGTCTCATTTAGACTTTATGAGGAAGGAATGCTAACAGTGATTTCATGGAACCTTGATTACGGTTGACAGGTCATACTGTTACACCGAGTATCCTTGAAGTTTGGTGTCGCGTAAAAGACCTAGAATGATTGGTCTAGGTGAGAAGGAGTATGAAGTGCCTTACTGTTTACTGTCTCCTCCCCCCCCAGCGATGATGCTGTTCAGGACCTCTCCGTATTAATTCATCGACCCTTTGTCAACAGTGAACTACTCTAAGCTATTTGTTAGTCAGGTCGGTCCGCTCCAACAGCCAGGCAGCGGATCACACCTTCTCGAGAAGCAGCGAAAAACCCACGTAAAATCTGCAACCGCATTCACCTCTTCCTCCCCCGTTATTCAACCTGTAAGCCGAGGTGGACTCGTTCGGAGATGTCTCAAACTTAGGGCAATGCTCCAGCATGATGGCATGCAGACGAGACCTGTCTACTAATAGATTCTATGACTGATGCACCGTGTATGGTGCTACTGCACACGAATGTCTGGTCCGCTCATCCACTATGCAATTGCCACATCCGCATAGCTATATTGCTATTTCGAGGAAACGGCATGTCTACGCATCGACAATTAAGCTCTGCTTGCCAGTCGTCCTACGGCACAGAGCCGAAAATTAAACGGAAAGACGCATCAACAGGTAGACAAAGGCTCCCAGGATACCTTCCCTGCAGTAGGGATACAGCCGTATTTTCTGATCAGTCTATCTCAATCACCTGCCAATCGATCGCGAAGTCAACAGTGTTCCGGCGACAAGGCGCACTCAGCGACAGGGGCTGGAAAAGCTCCGGAGAGCGAACGACGGTAGGAAAAAAAAACCGTGTAGGCCGAAAAAATGGATGTTGGCACGCGGTCTGACGCAGTTACACACACACACACACACACAATTCATTAACTAACGCCCGGCGGCTGAACCGAAAGGGCAATGTCATCTCAGATGTCAATATCTTAGCGGATCCTTGTGGGTTAGTATTTAGTGAGTAGACTTGCTTGAAGGCGCTTCTCCAAGTGTTCAACATCCTATCCTCGGCAGTTGAAGCGCGTCTACTGTCTCTGGCACAAGGTAGTTGGTGGGGCTTAGATTGGGGATGGGGTGGGGTAGGGTTAATTTGTGTTGGTCGATATGGCTAAGCGGCGTCGAGCCGGCCCGTGGCGATTGCAAAACGTATTGTGGCTCACACTGCTTCTAAGTTCGGCTTCCAGTTCTGGTCATCCAAAGGCGATTTTCCACCCAGGAAAAAAGATATGTTGCCTCGGTGAGTGTGGGTACATTGCAGCATCTCCGTCAGCTGTATGGTCCACTTCCGACATCGAAAGAGGAAGTGATCCACGGTCTCTCTTGCTTGTCCACATGCACATTGATCTGTCTCTGCGACATTGATCCGATAGAGGTATCCATTGAGTCTGGCCATGCCAGTCCGGAGGTGAGCCAGACGCTCGCTTCTTTCCACGATAATATATCATACAACTGCCGAGTGTGTTTTCCTGGGAGTGCTGCATCCACTATTTTGGCGTGTCGCCCTACGTTCTCTGGTAGGCCTTTGCTAGTGGCTGTTTGGGATCGTGCGATGTTCAGGTTTGTTGACTTCACTCGGGGGACCTGTGCTTGCGAGGTAGCATCCTCTTGCGTTGCGGTTCTGGCTGCTCTTTCGCCAGGCCCAGCAATCGGTCATCTTTGCTAATCTGGACCCAACAGATGTTGATCTGGTTTCCGTACCTCTGTAGCCTTTGAATCAATTTTACTATCTGGCAGATGTGTTCCTGGCACGACTGCTGTCGGGGATTCTTCAGCGTGAGTGCCGCCGCTTTGTTGCTCGTGAGCAGCGTGACTCTGCACCGCTTCAGTCCCCGTAGCGTGCTCAATTCGTATGCCATTGCTGCCAGCTGCCCAGAGTAGGGGGGTTCTGTTCTGCTCCTGGGCCCAGTGTAATGGAGAAGGTCTTCAGTCTCGGTTTTCGATACCGAGGTGGCTGCTTCTCAATTGCCACGCCAAATCCTACCATCCTGCTAACCGCGATCGGCATGACTCCGCCCGCTTCGGTCTGTGTCTCCGGTAAATCATGACCATCACTCTGCACCCGTTCTTCCCATGGTTCCAATGTGAATGGATTGATGGTTTCCAGTTTTCCAGTGTTTCCGTCTCGATTCTTTTCAGCGTGTCTGCGACCTTATATAATGGAGAACGGTGGTTTTTTCTGAATTTCTTGATATGAACTGTACTCCTGCGGAGGGGATTGCTTACTGGTAGGGTGTGCATGTCTGTCAACATCTTCGCAGCTCGTCTCCAGAGCCGGTGTTTCACCGTGACAATGTGAGCCTCCGCTTCCGCTACGCTGGTCGCAACTGCGAGGATTGGCCCGACAATCGCTTGCGCTCCTACCCTTTGTACTCTGTTGATCGGCCCGATGTTTTTATTCTTGAAAGCGTGCATCCAGTCATTGGAGGCATAGTCCACCACCGGGGCCACCGTCGAGGTGAATAACTGCTGTGCTGTTGCTGAGGTTAGACCTCGAAGTCGTCGAAGCTCCATCGCTGCCTCCAGGCCCTTGGACCCTGCTCTCGCGATGTGTTCTTTGTATTTGAGTCTCGTATCCATTATGACGCCAAGAGTCTTAACGTGATCTCTGGGTTCAATAAATTAAGCCCTTTGCCGATATATGATATGTTCTATTCGGTATTATTGCGGAGAGCCCCTCCCCCCCTTGCGTCGGGTTCACGATATTCCGTGCTTATAATTGTTGTGATATGAGGCTGTTGCAGATCAGGAATCAAGCCGAACCATCGGAATTAACTCCGTGGTGTCTATACAGAAGACCAAGTTGATTGGAAATCAACTTGGCTACACGTTGTATATATAGCCTCATCTTTCCTCCTAGAGTAAAATAACACTTCATACCTCTGAACTACAACAATTCGATCTAGCACCGATTATCAGCAGCTGTGCGCAAGGTGGTCGTTCGCCACTCACCGTGCTCATGCCCCAGATGAGATCCCCTGCTACCAGCTGCGAACAGCACCCCGGCCGGACTCGTGGGAAAGGCCGAACCAGGGTTGTGTTTCACTGCCATCCGAGGTCAGCATGGTGTCTGGTGGCTGAGGAGTGGTAGAAACTTGCCGTAAATATAGTCTGGTATCAGTATAGGCAAGCCGGAGATGAGCTAGCGGACGTCGGCTCGATCCCACGTGCACGAGGGTCCGGGAACACTCTGTACTAGGGGGAATGGATGTAGCTATACCTGCCAATGCACGACTCTGGGCAGATCTTCAACTGTGTCAGGGCAAATTACCACTGGACGAGAGATTCATGTTATGTTGTTTGCGACAAACTTCGCCCCGATCTGACAATGACTGCTCTCGCAGCGAGGGGTCTAGGGTAGATCTAAGCCACGGCCTGTCTTATCGCTTGCTCAGCTGCAATCAGAGGTTGAATATCTGGCCTTAAGACTATTGCCAATAGCTCGTTTCAATTTGCTGATTGATGCTCGGGGAAATAGTTGTCTTTTTCTGTGGCCGTCGATTCTCGGCTTCTCTTCGTTGTCGCGGATGCTCTGATGGCTCGCTCAGTCAACAGTGAGGCCGGCTCATGGCCACCGACAAGCCTTCGGATCGGATGTGGGGCAGGGGGTTCATAGCCGTCAGAATATTGCGAGTTACTAATCCATTGACTGTCAACCTTTGCCTGGATAGGGTAATGCCAGAGAGACGAATGAAGACACTTTGGAATATTACCATATGGCTAATCAGAGGGCATCAGGCCTTCATGAATTGGGCTTGCTTACTGCGCCAGGCGAAGTGGCCGTGTCAACCACGTCTTCAGAAACAACAAAGACAAGCGTAGTGAGATTCAGTGGCTTGGCCCATCAGGTTGTTGCAGCTGGTTTAGTTTCGAGGACGAGGGGGGAAGAGGGAGCATAGCTTGATCACGTCGAGGGTAATATTGACATTGGCCCTATGAAAAAAAGAATCATCAGCGATCTTTTTTGAAGAACAGAGAGCCACGAATGGATACCATTCGTACGGAGATTAAAATGCAGTACCCGGGGTTGGGAATGGGTAGGGACAACGCAGTAGGGTGATCTAGGAGACATTGAGCAACTCGCGATAGAAAGTTCGCTATCCTATATAATGCCCCTCAGCACATGATATCTGCTATTAATTTTGCCGTAGTTTTTGGACTCACGTTGTCGGTTATTGCTGTTCACTGCAGGGGATTTCGCGGATGCGGGGCTAATATTGAGCATCCTCCGCGTTAGCATGATTTCAAATGACTGGGCAGCTACACTCACTGTTCGAAGACTCGATTATTGAAAAATGTTAGGCTATTGTGATGTACGAGGTCAGCTCATTTCATTGCATGATTTGGAGGTCAACCAATACCAAGAGTAGCCGCAGAGTCCGATATTCTTTCACCCAGAACCACAAAGAAATGCTTGCGAACGACTGTTTTGCTGGCGAGGAACCGGGTATTTATAGCAATCCAGCCAGGCATTCGGCCTGCGTCAATGAGATCATTATTATGAATTGTGAGGGCTCAAGCTCAAACTACTCTTCAATGATAACTGGCTCAACATTTCGTCATTGATTTAAAGCAGCTCTCAGGGACATTGCATCTTGTTCCCGTTGATCAAGAACATGAAAAAAATATTTCCTGGCTGTTGGTATTGTTTCAACAGTGATGAGGATGCCACAGAAAAGAACCGACGACGGTTATCACCATTCATCACCGTGAATACGCCCTTTATTGTGACGGGTGAGGCGACGAGGTCATGTCATTTCATTTCACTCACCAGTGATGAGCACGTTACTCCACGCGACGAACACCCCATCAAAGACAGGCAAACAGCATGCTATATTACGGCCCTAGATCCCTATAAGCCAAACCGCAGGATTCTTCATTGCCTAACTCGTATATCGGAGAAAATCCATTACGCTTACACATTGATATCTGTCGTGATATGAGGCTGGTGCAGATCAGGAACCAAGCCGAAAAAACGGAATTAATCCCGAAGTATGTATACGAAGAACCAAGTTGATTGGAAACCATCTTGATCTTCTCGTTGTATATATAGTCTCATGTTTCCCTCTGAATAAATACAGTAAGATAATTTATACCTCTGAACTACAACGAAATCCATGCACGGGAAGCTTTGTGAGGGATAACACACCAAGACCATGTCCGACCATAGAGTCGCAATATCTGGTGGCAACTTCGTGTCGAAAAGAACGGTTTCAGTCACTGTCTGATACACATTGATTGCCCTGATGACTGGCCGCCTACTATTATCTGAATCAAAACCCTGAGCATGATCCAAATGTTCATACCACAGCATCTCAAGCCCGTGCTCAATCCGGACAGAACATCGCGCAGCTTACTGTACTTCTAATAGGACGTTGTCTTCAGCCCTTAACTTGCATACCCCAGCACACAATAAAGCGAAATGTTTGGATAAACGGGTTGCTGGAATATTGAAAGACTTGGAATTTCTATCAGTAGCCCTAAAAGTCATCAAAAAGCGCTCCGCTCTCCTGTGGGAGTTTGATACCCGCTTTGCTTGCACTGGAATGTACCCGCAGAAGCACCTCTTTAGCAAGGATGCAGCAGTTTGAAGATGACCTTATAGCGGCACATAGCGTAACGAAGGCAGCACAACTAGTGGTGTTGTGCAGGTCATCTAGTAATGAGAACAATGATATGCTGATCCATTGTAGACAAGAAGGTGTCATACGTCGCAGCCGCCAGTGTAAGCGGTGTTTATTAATAAGCTCAGTGACATGATATGCAGATTGTATGCATATACATCTTGCGTGAGATGCGGTAGCCATTGAAGCTTCGTCAGATCCTATGGGCGCTTTCAGAAAGCGAAAAAGAGTCATGACTATCGAGTAGTAGTATATACTGAATAGAGTTAGCAAGGGTAGCTGGAGTGAAGGGAAGAGCTCACTGGAGATAGAGAACTGCTGGAACCGAACCGTCTTGAACAGCTATGCATGCTGGTATTGTTCCATGCCAACATACTAGACGACCATGTAACTCCTCGGCTCTGATTTGCAGAAAGTATCCCCCAAGACGGATATCCCCAAATAATGCATCAGCCACATCCCAGCTGATCAGGTTCAAAATAGACATCTGATTGAATATGCAGTTCGTATGTACTTGGCATGATGGGGACTGAAGAGGATAAGGGCACCATGTGTTTGTCATGTTACTTTCGCATGGCAGAAGATTCCCCAACGGCTTCCTCATCGTCGGCGGCTTGTGCCACGATAAGGAACTGACCCTGAGTAATGTCAGGAGACTTTCAGTTATGATCTGTGCAGTGATAGACTTACATCGTGCTATTAAATAAACCCCAAGTTATAGTATCCAACACCCTTGCTTTATCCGTATCAAAAGTAATTGAGACGGCATTAGTAACTGTTAATTGATAGGCACCATGTGTAGCTCGTAATAGGTATGTCCAACTCAGTTCAACCTTTCCCATGAAGCTGGCACTGTCAATAGAAAATAGAAGAAAGTTAGAAAGAGACTTGGCTCGCAATACCTAACTAGGAGTAAATTCTCCTTGTAGCTTACGTTGTAAATAATATACCAATAGCTTGCACAGTAGGTAGAGATATCCTACTGCCCTCCTCGTCTAATAAACGATTGGCCTCGTCAAAGAAATGGCCGCCTTTGGAATGGGACTCCCCGGGAACCGCAAAACTTTGGATATAGTTAGAGGAGAACTAAAACATGGTCAGTGAGCTACCCATATACCGGTTTTAGCAAAGCTTGAAGGCAAAAGGGTTCTGAGCATACGCAAGCTTCTGCAAGCATTGCATTGACAAGCAATGGAGAGCAATAGATGCAGCTTTGATTCCCCGCTTGCATATCTCTCAAAAAAAGCTGTTTTTCTATCCAGGTTGAACATGATGGATAATGCCACGTAAACCAAAGTGAAACAAGATGGGACACGAAGTCTTCGTCGTTGGTGATGTTCGTCCATGGGTGTGTCGGTACTTGAAGAACCGGTATGTCTGACAGCCATTCAATATCTAATGCTTTGTGGCGAGTCTTGGCCGTTGGCATCTCTTTTTCTTCTGCTTGGGAGTGCGATTCTTCAAATACTGAGCAATCCCCGGATAGAGATCTTTCGGTGAGCTCTTCAGCGACAAGGATCCGAATTTCGCTAAGGGAGGCATCACTGCGCACGAGAGTAAGTAGGTCTGAAATCCTTTCTCTTTTACCGTCCCGAAAGAGTCTCGAGAACCTTGCTAAAGAGATCACTGTCCTGTTGTAACAGGTCTATCTTGCGTTTGAGAACCAGCTTCCGCCGCTCGTCGGTGTCCATGTCGATAGCGCACTCTATTTGGTGTTTGCGGCATCGCTTACAGGGCGCTACTCCAGAGCACTATTTTTTTTGATCAGTAAGCAGCATGATATCGTTGCAGTGGTACACTACTTTTGCCTTCATCCTTCGGCATTCCGTGCACGCACGTGATGCCTTGGTTATTCTTGAATTCTTGTTGACAAACAGTTCTGAGCGAATTTGCCCTTCAGGAAGCGGGGCGAGCGACTGTAGGCCTTTATTATCAGTCATCGTGATTTCATAATCGAAAAGAAGTGGAAGACTTCTCTCCTTCTTTTAACTTATTTTTTGAAAAAGCCGATGTGGGTCAGAACGGCAGACTGACTGGCAGGGGCCCGATGTGGGCGTTTAGGTCTTACTGAAAACCTGAAATATTGCAAGCCATCCATCATGTGGCTGAGTTCATGCACCGGACAGCCTGGGCCCCTTGGCCAATTTCGACACGTCAAATACGAGGATGTCAGTGCAAATATTACATCGCTCGAGGAAGTGAACGTGGGGCATTACGAGGCGGAGACGATGCGTATAGGGAAGCTTACCACGGAGAGGAAACCAGAAAGGTTGTCAATTTCGAAAAATGGGAGCAAAAAAAGCATGATCGAAGGTATAATGCTGTGTTACAACGGCATGCCAACATTGATGCGACGAGGGCAGTCGTGGTGAGATTTGGTCGTCGGGCGGGCGGTACATGGACGAAGACTGATTATTTTCGCCGGGGTCGTTTTCGTTGGGTGATTTGCCTAATTTTTTCTCAGCGATACGCTGTATCTCCTTAATTCTTGTTTCCGCTGAAGGAAAGCCCACATCGCCATTGCGTTTAAAGCTAGGCTGCTTTCGGTCAATAGAATCTTGATTTGATTTGATTTGAAACCTAGAATGTCCCTCTTTCAATTTCCAATTGGATATATTACAGCGGAAAGATGAATAGTGGTATGGAAAATGCCACAGGGCTTACTTATTGGTAGATCTAGGCCAATCTACAAGCAGACGGAGATCCCACTTATCCTTGTTTTCGGTAAAATATCCATACAGCATCGCCATTCTCGATAGACTTGCAGGAAACAACTGTGACCGTTCAACAAGCAGCAATTGTTTGAGTCTGGCAAATTCACCAATAGTCATCAAAAATCCACGAGTTAAGTTGTTCAAGAGTCTCCAGACATCATTATGTATAGGGTTGAGATTGTAAATGCAGCCCCGGTCATGGAAATAGGGAGAGGCAACGCTCCAGGGTGATTTAGAGAAGATCGAGTGGCTCGCAATAAAACTTTTGCCTTCTTATCTGTGAGTTGTCAGGACAATATGTTACTTTTGGAACTTCCAAAATAAGCGAAACTTATTTTCCCGGCAGCTGCTGCGCCCTGCTTTCTAGCCCGGTCAAAGCGGCTGAGGAGTGTATAGCCGCGATCTATGATAAATAATCAGTATTCAGCTTGTGGGAACCTTTAGAGACCCACTGTGCTCACAGTTTCGAGATTTATGAGGCTACCCAAGGTCTGTTTAAGGGTTTCCGGGAGGAGTGTCGGAGGTGGGACTGGTATTAAGCATCTTCCATGTCAGCATGATTCCAAATAACTGATCAGCTAACTTCACTTACTGTCCGAAGACTTTATTATCGAGCACATGAAGGCTGATGCGATATAGCAGGTCGGTTAAATCACAAAATTGCATAATAATTTGGGGTCAGTCCATATCGAAGTGTTGCTGGCGAAGACGAAAAGCGATCGGTCTTCTTTGCCCCAGAGTGATAAAGGAATGCTTGCGAATCACTGTTCTCCGGGCGAGGGATCGGGTAGTTATAGCATTGCAGCTGGTCGTTCTGCTTACATTGACGCAATGATCATCATAAATTGTGAGGGCATAAACACAGACGACCCTCTAATTGCAGCTGGTTCAGCGTTTCATCATTGATTTAATGCAGCACCAAACGCATAATGTTCTATGTTCAAGCTGTTAGAAGCTACGGTGCAGCTTATGACTGATTCGCACAGCCCACATCTCACCAAAGAGCTCCTTGAATAGTGGGTGAGCTACTAGATCGATCATGTTTAGAACAATTGTCTCTGTCATCGGCCTCGACTTTGCGTATGGCAATGCCCATATCAAGCTCCTGGGAACTAAGTGGACACGGGAAGGCGGGTACTACAAGGAAATGTGAGCCAATCAGTAGCGTGAGTGGCCCATCTGTACACAGACCTTCGGTTGAATGATTGGTTAACACCTGGAGGAGCTTGTGGGTCGTTAATACCAATGCTATCATTGGGTACTATGAATACAATTATATCCGCCAGGAATAATGAGCCAATCGGTACTGCGGACAACCTACAGGCCCCACATACCCTCAGTAGAGATGATTGGTCCAAATTTGGCCATGAGCTCCTAGGAGCTTGGATCCGCATTCTCCGAGGTCACAAGCGTGTTGAAAAGGGGACCCATAGTGGTCGATGGAAGGCCAGCGCAAATGTACCTCGAATCGTGACTACTTGCCGTCTGTTTTCCCATACTGATCATCTCAATCTCATTGGTTGATCGTGGATCGAGAATGACCGAATCTGAGATCCAATATTCGGTGGACCAGTTATTAAAGAGTGGGAAACTTTCCCCGGCCAGCAAATTCTCAAAACGAAGCATGCTTTCCCGGACTTTGGAAGGCCTTTTCCTTTCAGGCAAGCCAAGGAGAATGATTGTCATATCCGTTATATTTCCTAAATGGAGAAATCCGACCTGATACTCCTCCGGCTTCAGATTCGTCAAGTAGGCCGGAGGCTTCACGATAACACTTCCTTTCTCAATGGCAACGAATTTTCCTGCCCTGTCAGGTTTTTTGGAAGGGTGATCTTGTAGCATGATGGTGGACTGCAAGGTAGTGTTGATGCTCTGGCCACAAAGCTTCAATTGCTCCTATTTCCGGACAAGCTCCTCGGTTTTCGAATATAGGAAAGGAAACCTGTTCACAAAAGCTTCAGAGGAGCGATGCATAGGAAGTTGAGGCTTGTCTTTATCAGGATTAGTCTTTTTGTTTGCCAAATCTGGAATAAGATATATCGCATACTGACGGACTTTTTTCGGAAGCGATTGAAGTCGAGTTTTGAGTGTCTATACGATGTTTGTAATCGAGATCCATTTTTTCGTAATCGTCAATACCAGAACGGACCGAAAAGCAATGCGCTGAAGCTGGGATAGACAGACTGGCGATCCAATGGCTTGTATAGGGGGGATAATATATTGTAAAAAAAAAAAAGAAAAACCAAGACACTTATGTGCGAGATGATATACAGCGAGAGAAAAACATTCACGCCGAGCTATGCAGCTATGCAGTAATGGTATGAAGCTTTTCAAATTAGATTCTGAAATTGGATGATGATGGATCATAGTTTAGATCATTCAGTGATGATTCACCTAACACTATGCCGTTGAGACTTGAAATGATTCCACCCGTGCAGCAACCAATGATACACACACACAAATCTCCGCCCCTCTCAACCTCAGGGACGCCAAAGTTCGAAACCTTGGTGATTGTGGAAGCACGTCCCCAGCCTCGCCACGGAACAGCCTTTTTGGGTACCGTCTAGGGGTTGCGTAGGGCTAATCATAGCCATGCGGCCGGCTATGCCATCAATCAAACTTCAGTGCAGTTCTTTAAACCACGGCAGGGCATGCATGATTTCTTTCCGATAGCATTACCGCAGCCTACTCTCTAGGTCATGATACGTACGATAAAAAATCTCAAAGTGGTCCTTTCTATTCGAATTAAAAGACTAGATGTTTTTCTCGTATCTGATCATCAAGTCAATATACCAACCTCTTCTAGGTCATTCGTTGTGCCATAGGTCCGACAGAAACATGGAAGACATTAATATACAACTTTTCTCGGCGGCCACCCCGACAATCTCCTGCCACGCCTTGACATGAAACATTTCCGTGACCACGATGCGATCGGGTTTTGATTGCATAAGTTCAGGGACCCTTTCATATCTTCTTCTAGAGCTTGTATCGAATGTCTGCTCTGAAACACATTTGCAGAGCTAGTGGCCAAATCACGAGTTGTGCAGTCGGCAGATGGCTTGATACCCAACGCAACCAGAGTGATTTTGGGGAGCAGGAGCAGATCTAAGGATAAGAATGTAATTACTGCTTGGAGCAGATGGCACAGGGAGTTTGTGTTCCCTCGCTCGATCGGGATACGTAATCAGAGATGAAAATCATGTGATTTACCTGCCGATGATAGTTATATCTAGAGCTTGCCAAACGCGGGTTTGAGTTGAGTTTTCAATTTCTTTACCCGCCCACGGGCAACCCACCGCAGTTTTTGACCTTGAAGAACCCGCAAAATCTAGTAAAAGATATATCTTTCACTAGTCTTTGTGTTTCAGCCAATGAGATAATGACGTCATTATGTCCAAATTATCGAAACGCGTCATACCTAAACTACAGGAAACTTGAAATGTGATGCGACCGGTGCCAAGAATAAGCGGTCTTCAAGAAGCCGAGAAAGACCATTCGTGAAAAGATCTTGGCCTGAAAAAGTTAAAGGAAGACGAATTCCACGATCATCGGAGTATGGACGTTGCTGATATCATGAATAGTCCGACACGGAAATCTTTTTCGCACGTTTATGAGTTAGATGGGCATGCAAACGTCTCAAATGAAAATAGATCTTACGAAGCAGCTGGCAACAAGCAAATCAGAGCAGAGATGACCAATGTCAGACCAGCTGAGCGAAATTTGAGCAAAATAGCGATCCCACGAGTAAGAGTGACTGCCACGAAAACGAGGTGCAGAATCTCTCACGCTTGCACATCGTGTCAAGGAGACAAAATCAAATGCGACGGTGACCAGCCTCGCTGCGAACACTGTGTGATGTCAGGAAAGCAGTGTCATTATCGCCCAAGAAAGCACCTGCGTATGAAGGGGTAAGGATCCACAGTATCTTTTCAGTCTGAGGGCTTACAATCTCACACAGGGAGCTCGCCAGGCTATCAGCGGAATTATATGATTATAAAGCTACTTTGCAAGCGTTATGCCATTGAGCTGATGACGAGGATTCTAAGCTCATAAAAGGAGTTTTGACCAAATACTCTACTTAATAAATTGTCAAAGTGTCAGTTACGGAATCGAAATATGTGGAAACTAGCATCAATACAGTTACATATATCGTACTTTTCAGGACTGGGAGAAAAGCTTCATTTTTAATACAGTCAGATGCAGTCTTATCTCACTGATATACGGGAGGATTTAGTCCGGCTCATTTCTTGCCATACGAATTTCTACCACTACAAACCAATATATTCTGGTTCTTCTCGGCAATATGCATCAGAAAGATTTAGTTTTATTCAAACTTGTCTTGAACAAACACTGTTTCCCTATAAACCTTCGGAGTAGAAGCCAGTATCGCTCTGATATGCTATACTTTTTATCGGCATTGATGCCATACACATACGAGGCTATGATTTGAAGGAGACTTCTTCACGCGACGGAAACTTGATCTAATATCTATGCGCTGTTTCTGACATTCTAAATTTGAGGCTTTACCGAAGTAACCCAGACTTCTTCGTTCTGGAATGCCTTTTGGAGGTTCATGAAGACCGACTGCAGCCGCCCCATTGAGAGAGCAGAGGGAAATATGGGCGACATTATTAAGTTCTCATTATAGTAGAGAAGATTACATCCAGGCATCCCCTGTATAATCTAATGTTTGATCCAACTACACAAATAGACAGGGTGATTCATCCATCTTTGAGAGGAGCAGCCGTCGCCTAGGGATGCAATCATAATGATGATGTATTATTCGGACTATGGCAGCAAGCCGATGCGCGCTTGTTTCTCCGTCATATCGGCGTGCAAGCGGTGGCTGTTGATGATGATACGCAAGAGGTCAAGTGGTGCAGAATGCACTACGCCAACCTCCGAAATCGATGGTGAAACTGCATTTCTCGAAGAATAAATTTGATTGCAAGCAGCCCGGGACTTTTTCCGATGTTGCGGTTTTGTTCCTGGCCTGTGCAATAGAGGGGGAGACAAGCATGAAAAACGCATAGATTAATGTTAATGGAATAGAAGAAGATGGATGTACAGGCTGCCAGTGCCTACGGTGACTGTTATGCAAATCGAACTCATCGACTTCCAATTGGGGGTGCCGCGCGGGCGCGCGGTCGAAAGCACGGCTCCGAAATCAATGCATTGGGAGTCATCCACGAGAATTGTCCATGACAATATTCTTTTAAATGAAGAGCTCGGACAAGCCTTGATTGTCCACTTTCACCGCTCTGTACTGAACTGTTGTCCAGCTTCAAGCGAACACGAACAGAACAGCAAAGAGACGGTTCTGTCTGGCTGAGCCATTATGTGTTATTCCTTCTCAACGCAGAAATACAATAACGTTAGTGGGTCTTCTGTGGAGTTGGCCACAACTGGAGCAAAGAAAACGTAACACTGAATCTCGGCAGCGCTGGTCAAGTCGGGTATTTAACTGCTTCGCATTGGCCCACTCATTTATGTCACATAGGAAGCGACGAGCAGTCCCGACTTAAATCCCTCGCCGAATGAAGACATGAATCTGTTAGCTTCGAGACCCTTGTATTGAGGACTACCGGCATGGATCCACCATGTAAGTGGCGAGCAGTACATTTCATCCAGGGAATTAACCTTGGCACCGTTCTTCAGCAGAATTCTGGTGGGTCCGAGAGAACCATCCTCTGCGGCCCAAGAGAGAGGTGTTCGTTTATTACGATCAAGATCGTCGACAGGAGCACCGATGTCCAGCAGACCTTGAAGAAGCGCGGTGCAACCTCCAATTGCGGCATAATAAATGAACAACTTCTTATACGGGCCTCTGGGGTTACATATGCCCCTGGGTTGAATCTCGTTGTGTGTTTTATGGATATAATCCATAATGTCTGTTCAATTTTGTTCTTGTCGATCTCTTTCAGATGCTCAAACTCTTTATCAATGATGTTCATGGTAGTGTGTGAGGCCATGGGAGCTTGATTATATTGTATTGTGCTGACTCTGTCGGCAAGAATGATATTCCAGACGGCACCCAAGCTGGGATCGAAAAATTATAAGTTTTGATTTATAGCCTCTAAGATTTGAATCTTGGCATTCACCCTCAAGTTTATGCCTTTTAACTATGCCTATCGGATCTCTGCCTTATTAAAATGGTGTCTGATCCAGGAATGGCTAAACGCACCCTTCAGTTGTACGGCCTACTTCCGAAGACTTCTTCGCCGTAGAATCTTGTTTCCGACTAATAAAGAATTCCTGGACGATGCTGTCAAAAGCCAAAAATTTGCGGAGGTCGAAATAATTATGGAAAGGTGACACTGCTCAACGTGGAAACAACATTGCCACACAAAAATTGAGTCTCGCATGATTGACTCCCGGGGTGATAATTAGGTTAGAAACCGATGCCGTAGAGGGCAGCGACTATTAGTGGCAAGACTCATTAGCAGGCTATATTAGAAGAATTCTGGAACCCGCATAATCATCAGCCAAGATATTGATCCCAGCATGACCGCGAGCTCATCGGTATTAATAGGACACCCAGTACCGATGCTTACAGTAATCTCTTCAGAAGCGGAATTCCAATTGCTACACTCCTACGTATTGATTCTATGAAATAAATGAGCTACGGGAATAAGGGACTGTATCGCTGAGAGGGTAAGTTCAAACTCATAACGCTAACTTTACGACCTAGATTCGCGACCTAGCCTATGGCTTCCCCTGACCTACCACTCGATGGGGACTTTCAGCGGTAAGAGTTCAAGGTACACGAGGAGATATAGTATGTATAGGTTCTAAGTTACGCACACATGGGAGATTTATGAAAACAGCTGAGTCCGAGAAGCACACCCTTTGCTTGCAAAACCTCCTAAGGGACGTTGATCAGACAAAAGATCGTGAAATCCTTTGTTGTTGGCTTTGACAACAAAGCCTTTCCTAAATAAATTTTAAATTTGCGATTACCAAGCTATTGTATGTGATGTTTGGATATTCCCCTTGAGCCAGCACGTGCAGTAAGGCTCTGCAGAAGCGTAACTATCTTGATGATCTCCCATTTCCTAGCTTGGTCTAAGGGAGACACGCCATCATTATCTGGAATCTCGGGCTCCAGATCCGGCAGTTGCGCCAGTTGAAGGATCAGTCTTTTGTTGCTAGTATTTGCTGCATGATACAGTACCAAACAGCCTCTCTGGTCTCACTGATTTACTAGAGTCTTCCAACTCGAACGGAAAAGATCTATGATCTTATTTCTCTTGGGATTCAGGCCGTCGTATGCCATGGTAGCTAGAATAAGTACACTATTTCCCGCGGAATCGAGCTGGTTGACGTTAATGTGTTTGTGATCCAAGAGGATTTGTATTGCAATGGGGCCGTCATATATCACAGCCGGATGAAGTGCATTGTATCCTCAGTCATCTCGAGTGTCTATACTGAGTCGCGGATCTTTCAGAAGGATCCTCAAAATCTCGTATTGTTGATTTCGAGGGGTGTCAGGATTAGAAGTTGGGCTTTCGAACTCCGACCATTTATATTAATGTCATGTCGACACAGTAGCTTTCGGACGGTTGGCGGGTTTCCTTACATAATAGTAAAGGACAGGGCGGCTGAGCCCATTGATCGAAGTGAGCGACATCTACAGAATTTTTGTATGGCAACTGACCAGCCAGAGTCGTAGCTCCTTGCAGGGCTAATATTATCAGACAGGTCAGTAGCTGCCTTGAGTCTTCCTTATGCTTGAATAAGTAGGGGTGACTTACAAATGACAGATGGGTGGTAAGCCATGTTTTCGATAATGATAAGATTATCTTGCTATTCTGTTGTCTCGATGATGAGGATTTGAAGAACGGAGCTCTCGTTGCTGTATTTTGCGATGATTTTTATCCAGCACAAAGACATATAAGGTAGTATTTGTAGCAAGACTTTATTGCGAGTAGCTTTGATCTCAAGAATATTTGATCTGCATTCACATATTTTCACATATGAGCTCCCATAGTTGGTTTGCTCCAATTTTCAGTTCTACTTAGAGCTCATGCCATACAATTATGGACCGCTGTGGTCCTCAAACGAAATTGATTCCGCGGAGCAAGCTGTCTGCTCCTGGGAATATAGCTGTCAAGGGCTCACGTATCTGAAGATGCGGATTGTGTTTTTCGGAGCATTCACAACCAAAAGTAGGAACCCACAAGGTGATCTTAGAGACAAGACTTAGCGCGAGAAAACAAAAAGAAATTAGCTTCCTCTTGTTCATAGTAGCACAGATGAGCCATGTGGGACGGTATCCTGCCCAAATCGTCTATACTGCATGCCAGCCCTGACGCATTTCAACATAGTTCCTAGGAGCTCGATGTAAATATATAAAGGTCTCACGTATCCGTTGATGAGGAGCTTGTCTTCCAAATGAATAATCAATATTAAAGAAAGCTGTAGTCGACTCTAGATACAAGACGTAGTGCGAGGAAGCAAAAGAGAGATGGCTTCCTCGCGTTCAGAGGAACCCAGATAAGCTATGTGGGTCCGTGTCCTCCGCTTAGTGTGTATGACATCCCTGACAGGGTTCCCAGGGCCGTCGCATTAGTCCATAATAGAAAACAGACGCCCATCAGCATCTCGGTGGCCTCTATTAGACGCGGCCCTGCATATCTGGCAAGACCAACACGAGGATGCTGGCATTCCTACAACAGACCCATTAATTCATAGACAAGCCGTTAAGACGCAACAGTCGGCGAGGACACGATGCTCACTGTGGAGCATTTCAGAATCGTCCGCATCATCATCTTCGAGTTCAGCGGCTTGGATAGGTAATCGTCCATGCCGGCCTGGATGCACTTGTCTCGATCACCAAGCATCGCGTGCGCAGTGAGAGCCACGATGGGCGTGCGAGGTAAGTTGTTTACTTCCTCGTATTGCCGGATCTTGCCCGTCGCTTGGAGGCCATCCATGATCGGCATCTGGACGTCCATGAGGATCACATCGTACCGGCGACGCTCGATCTCTGTGACGGCCTGCAGCCCGTTTTCCACGACGGTGACTTTGTGGTTGTACTTTTCCAGGATGCGGACGGCTACTTTCTGGTTGACGTCGTTATCTTCTGCCATAAGGATTTCCAGGCATCCAGGACATTCTGACGGGGCGTGATTCGTACAATCCCCTAGGGCGGGTAATATGCCATTCCAGAGATCGATAGATCGGCAGGGTGTGGTGATGTAGGATGTGATAGCAAGCTCCCTAGCGGATTTAAGTGATAGAGATACCACCGGGCCTATCATTACCAAAGGGATAGGCGAGGAATTTGTGTAGGCGCGCAACTTTGCCGCTATGTCAATAGTCGATACCAAGATCGCGTCGAAGCTGCAAACCCATTTTGCCTGGCATTGGCCCGAGATAAACTGTTTTTCGGTAACGACCACAGGCTCCAGACTAAAGTCAAGCAACATATGAGCAGCAGGGAACCCAGCCACATAACCATCATCAATAAACAGGATCCGGCGGCCTCGGTGGGGGAGTAATTGCTCTGCAAATCCCATTGGGGCTTCGGCAAGCTTCACCCGACAGGTGAAGGAAAATTTGCTGCCGCCACCCATACGCGAGGTGACCCAGATATCTCCTCCCATGAGAGAAACAAGATGCTTTGAAATTGGGAGGCCTAGGCCCGTACCACCGAAACAGCGAGCTGTTGATCCGTCAGCTTGCTGGAACTTGTCGAAGATAAGTCCCAATTTGCTCTCATTGATTCCAATGCCGGGATCCAAGACCGAAAATTCAAATACGGTTTCATCGAGCGGGTATTTGCTGTCCTCGGCGAGCTTGATCGAGACGTGGATTTCGCCACGGTCGGTAAACTTGACAGCATTACCCACCAGGTTCAGTATGATTTGACGCAGGCGATATGCATCCCCGACCAGATAATCGGGCACAGTGTTGTCGACTGTGTAGACCAAGCTCAATGCTTTCTCGCCAGTTTCCACCTCCAGGGCTTTCAACGCACTAAGAACGGTGGACCCCAAGCTAAACGGCATCTTCTCGATAATCACTTGGTTAGCCTCGATCTTGGATAAGTCGAGGATATCATCGATAATGGTCAGAAGGCTATTGGCAAGGCTCTGCACCATGTTAAGAGATTCTCGTACGGTTTGAGGAAGGTCATCTGTGTCCATAGCTAAGCTCGAAAGTCCGATGATTCCATTCATTGGCGTTCGGATCTCATGGCTGGCAATCCCCGTTAGCATCGGTCATGTATGTTTTAGCCAAGATTCCCAAAGGAAAACCACGTACCTCATACTGGCAAGAAACTCTGATTTGCTGCGATTTGCCAACTCTGCTGCCTCGCGGGCAGCGGTGTAGTGCTGGATGCTGTCGCGCAGGCTAGAGATCATCTTGTTGATCTTTTGTTTCAAGTCATCTATTTCGCCTGATGCTGACACGGTGATCAATTCAGTGAATTCACCACTCACTGCTGCTTCCGTAATTTCTCTGAACGCTCGAACCTGCGAGGTGAGGTTGTCTGCCATTGTATTAACATCTTCGCTGATTGACCTCCAAATTCCATAAGGCCCCTCTGCATTCGCCTGCCCGCCGAGCTTGCCTCGGACGCCAACATCCCTCGCCACGCCTTGCAACTCTCTGGTGAAACGCCCGAGGCTGTCAATCATACTGTTGATCGTTTCTTTCAAATTAAGGACTTCGCCTTGGGCGTGAATCTCGATCTTAGTGCTCAAATCACCTCGGGCGACGGCTTGAGTCACTTCGGAGATCTGTCGAACCTGCATCGTGAGGTTCTGAGCCATTGTATTTACATAATCTGTCAGTTCGCGCCAACGGCCTTCGACATTCTCTACTCGGGCTTGTCCGCCTAACACGCCGTCGGTGCCTACTTCACTGGCCACTCGGCTCACTTCGAACGCGAGTTGGTTCAGCCGGTCAACCATCGCATTGATAGTAAGCTTCAGATTCAAGATCTCGCCTTTCACATCAGCAGTCACCTTAATTGTGAGATCACCACGAGCAACGGCGGTCGTCACTTTGGCGATCTCACGGACTTGCTCTGTGAGGTTAGCGGCCATTCGATTAACGTTGGATGTCAGGTTCTTCCATACACCCTCCAGGCCATGAACGACCGCCTGATCACCTAGTGTGCCGTTGGACCCAACGTTGTGGGCGACACGGCTGACCTCAAAAGTGAACTCGCGCAGCTGGTCGACCATCGAGTTGAGAATATTCTTCAACAACAATACCTCGCCCTTGCAGTCCACTTGCACCTTGCGAGTCAGATCACCCTTAGAGACGGCAGTAGTCACCGCGGTGATGTCGCGAATCTGCGTGGTCAGGTTCTTAGACATGGCGTTCAAATTGACGCTGAGCTCCTGCCAGATGCCCTCCATGCCCTCGGTCTTGGCCTGGCCCCCAAGCTCCCCATCAGTACCGACCTTGAGAGTGACCTTGGAGACCTGGCTAAAAATCTGCAGCTGATCCACCATTGTGTTGATCGTCTGCTTGAAGGTCGTGATGTCGGATGACATCTCGAGTGGATCAATGCGCACTCTCTGCGAGAGGTCGCCACACGCCACTTTTGTGATGATATCCCCGATCCCACGCAGATCCTTCTGAAAAGCCTCACTGAGATGGGTCTGTTTGCGAAGTTCCTTTCGGAGATGGGAGTACTCATGTTCGATTTCCGCGACGGACGAATCTGACTCGCGACGATAGATGAGTTCTTCGAGGATGGGAGAGAAGAAATCTCGGGGGACCGAAATCTGGGGGCTCTGCTTGTGCTGCAGGGCTGCTTGAGCCTGGAGAAGGTTTTCATCGCTGACCAAAGCTGGCCAAGCTGACTTCCCCATGGCGTCCATTGTTGACAGTGCAGGACCGACTGAGATGGTAGGTGATCCACTGTCATCCGCTTCGAAGGTTCTTCGTTACACTGCAATGGGGTAGCGATGCATCGTAAAATGGGGGCAATTGTCGAGCCTCGCGCTGCTGGGCGGTCCCGCAGCAATTTGCAGTTGACAGCTGCAGCAGCACTAGACCTCGGATCGAGTCGCGACTTTCTAGGTCCGGTCCAGGTTTAGAACCGCCAAGACCGGTTCCGGTCCCAACTCTTTGAGGTCGCGATCCGGTTCCAACTTCTTTAGAACCGGACCTGCAGGTCCGGTTCGAACCTGCAGGTTCTTCAAACAGTGCAAAATCGGGGAACCTCGTGATATGCATTAATTATGCAGTTTTGCTCTGTATTTTTGAGTATTCATCTTACATTAAGTAGAAAGTTACCTCCTAACTCACAACGAGCAGGATCTAGGTTAAAAATACGTTAAAACTAATCTCTCGAGTACCTAGAACTTATTTACCGCCCGATTTTGTTTGATTTCATAAAGGAAGTAGTTAAACTTAGCTAAAAGAGCCTATTCGCAAGGATGAGGACCAAAACCTCTATAAATAACAGTACAAAACTAAGATGAATCAGCAAATTATCCATCTGAAATAGGAAGTGTCTTGGCGGAATTATGCAATTCAGGTTCCTACAGGTGTAAACCGGACCGGACCTAAGATTTCTAGGTCCGGTTCAGGTTCCAGATTTTTGGAACCTGGAAACCTCAGGTCCGGTTCCAGGTTCCAATTCTTCGAACCGGAGTCGGACCACGCCGAGGTCTAAGCAGCACTGGGACTGATCAAGTGCGCTTGTTCACAATATCGATATGCTCGAGTCCCACGATGCTTTCCTACCTAACTGTAACAGACTGTCATAAATGGAGTGGCTGTTCCTGTCAGCTTGGTATCCAGTGGTTTTGGATAACGCGGGTTGAGGGAAGAGACGAAGGTGAGGATCAGCAAAGTGCGCCGCTTTGGCTTCTAAACCCGCCGATGGTTTGGCACACGACTCACATTAACGACACCCAAACGCGGACTCGACAAAATTTAATTGACGCATGTATTTCAATTTTACATTTACTCTAATTATTGATTTATGGTGGTATTATGATTATATTAATACGTGAAATAAAATATGTACAAAATCATTCAACCCTACAGTAATTTCTTTTTTTTAAAAGTGGTGAATCGGGTGGTTTGGCTCTGCAGAGTGGGGCACGCGTTTGACCTACGTCATCACATAACTCCACCTGAATATGTGCCCTCATCGAACAAACCCCAGAAAATTACCACAGGGCTCCAATCAAGTAAAGATGATATGTTCTATTCGGGATTGTTGCAGAGAGCCCCTCCCCCTTGCGTCGGGTCCACAATATTCCGTGCTTATAGCTTCCGCATAGCTTTGCTTCCTCCTTAAATATACGGAGTGCTACGGGCCCGACTGCAGCCCTCGCGGCGCTGTAGTCTTCTGTCAAGGAGACCCACATCACCATGTTCAGACTGCAGGTGCCCCGTACGGGCCAAAAATATCTCACGCGTCTCCATTGTAGCAATGTAGCAATCGTTGGAATATATATATATATCCCTTAGCCAGTGCTATTATGTACACTATCGGCGGTAAAACCGGGAACGAACCACCATAATAACAACGATAGAGAACTTGATTTTTCTGAACATACTTCAGTTATCACTTTGTGTCGGCCCGATCGAATGAAATACACTAGGGAAGCGGGAAAAGCTGATCTTGCTGGATTAGTGCCCGAGGAACGGCGGACATGATTATTTGGAAAATCGTGGGTATGATTGAGTCAAATTCGTGCGGCGGCACCTCCCCGTAATGAATTTGCTGCATTGGCTTTTTCGTAACGGCCCGGGTTCGATTCCTGCGGGATACATTCTGATAACCTTTCATCGGAAAGACGGATCAAAACCCGCTGGATTGTTCGGGTGATTTCGTGTTTTCTACGGTTGATTTTTACCGCTTGGCCATCTCATGATTAAAACGAAACCAATTTTCCGTAGTCACCTGTAGGGGTGTTCACGGTACGATATCGTCGGATTTTTGGCATATCGTTATCGTTATCGTACCGTCCGATTTTTGACGATAATTATCGTTTATCGTATCGTCGCCCTAAAATCTTGACGATACGATAAACGATAATTATCGTCGCCTTAAAATCTTGACGATACGATAAACGATAATTATCGTCATATCGTTTATCGTATCGTTTATCGTCAAGTGGTAAGGCCCTCATGTTGGCCGTAGTCGCCACTCCAATGGCCTCAGCTTCGCTACGATACGCTGAATCGCTCAAAAATGCAATAAAAACCAAAGCAGCCTCTGTTTCCTATTTAGGACTAGCTCTGACGACTTCCACAAGTTGAACATTGGTAGTGGTTACGTGGGCGGCAATCTTCATGTCGGCCATAATTGCGACCACCACCACTACGCTTATTCATCAACCACCATCACTACCACGCCCATTCAGCGCTGAATCGCTCAAAAATACAATAAAAACCAAAGCAGCCTCAATTTCCTATCTAGGACTAGCTCTGACAACCTCCAGCCCTATATAATATCATCCATCAACATCAACATTCGCATAGTATCCGCGTTCAATGAGTGTCGTCGAAGCCCCAAAAGATCACGACCCCCGCTGGAAAGACGTTCAACATCTACTTCAGAAGCTGGAATTGCAAGATAATCCCGTGCAGCTGCAGCCATCTGAGGCATACTATTACGCTGAGTATACCACCATCTAGATAGCCACTCATGATGAGATGTATCAATAGGAACTCGTGGTGAAGAAAAGTAGTCATCTATATCAGATCCCGCTGGCTTCTGGACAATTGGTGTTAAACGCTGCAACATCCGCATCTCAATACTATTATGATGGTTATCCAATAGGACAGCATTGGTAGAAGAGGTTTGAGTATCTACCAACTCATGACGATACTGCTCATGGATATTCTCACGAATTGTATTGATAATCATCTGTCCAGCCTCATTATCAGATAGCTTATGAAGCAGAATGTCTCCCTTCACTCTTGGATCAAGAATCAATGCAGTGTAATAAGCATCAGTATTATCCATAAAGGTATAATACTTCTGATATTTGATAAGACCATGATGAATTGCATCCACAATATCATTGTCCAGATCTGCAAAGACACCTTTTTTCTGAGCTTCTTGATTAAGCAGATTATGAAGCTTATAGTAAATAGGTATCGCTATACTGATTTGAGGCCTTTTTTCAGATACAAGACCTGTCAATTCATAGAATGGAGCAAGAACTTGATGTAACTGTGAGAGACGACGCCAATCATCTCCAGTAAACTGAGGAAGATCAGACTGTGTATGAATATATTGATTGATCTGTGTCTTTGCCTTCAATGCCATATCAAGTATAAGATACGTTGAATTCCAGCGTATATCGATATCTTGTGGTATAAGTCGAGTAGGAAGCTTCATAAAATCACACATATTTCTCTATGCCTGCTGTCGTTGACCACTTCGACTAATCCATATTGCAAGGACTCGAAGACGTGATAGAGGAGTCTCAGTCTGTGCTAGAAGATCTTTATTCCAGTTCTTCATATGATCACAGAGTTTTGAAGCTTCTTGCGCAGTACCAGAGTCTAATACATGAAGGATATCCTTAACAATTAGATTCAGGATATGAGCAAGGCAGCGAATATAACTACTAAGGCTATGAAACTGGGAGCCTGGAGGTAGTAGATCATAAAGGAGTGGAACCATAGCTTTGTTATTACTGGCATTATCACCAGTGATTGTAAGAAGCTTTGTCTGAAGATCAAGCTCTAACAGCATATTAAAGACTGTATGGGCAAGGTTTTCACCACTATGAGCTCTGTCTAGCTCTGCAAATTCAAGGATCTTATATATATGCATGTTCTGGTAAGCATAGTTCACAATGTTCCTGGGAATAGAGAGACTAACCTTTTGCTTGTAGGTAAACTCTGGTGTAAGCCAATGGCTGATAATAGCGATAATAGAGATATTGTTCTTGCTTGTCCAGACATCTAGTGATAGAGCAATAGACTTGCATGTCAAGGCTAGCTCTGTCTTCAATTGTAGACGCTGGCGTTGAAATTCGGCCTTAATTCTTCGTTTCAGTGTATGTCGTGAAAATAGTGCTGTATCATGCCTAAGATCGGTGAATATTTGGTGGAATGAAGGTGATTCAATAGTTGTAAATGCTACTTTATCCTTAATAAACCACTATAAAAGGCTCTCCTGAAGCTGAGCTATTGTTGATAGTTTAGGCTTCTTGTTTAATGATTTGATAATAGAAAGCTGGGTAGAAGTAGAAGACTCGGAAGACGGTGCTGTAATATCATGTCTTTTCTTGAGATGATACTCCATATTGCTAGTTGATCCTGATCGGACTGAATCATAGGTTTCCCAATTGTATTGCTTGCATTGAATAAGACGATCATGTTGTACTTTCTTTTTGGCACGAGTTATCCAGGGTTGATTAATTATAGTGGTTGTGAAGTAGGTCCATAGCCATTGGGTTGCTGCTATAGTTTTGCGAGGTCGTTTCGACGGTTGGGGGACTATACTCAGTGGTGATATAGTATTAGGAGCAATACTCTGAGAAGCTGATTCAGATGGTAGGATTGAATCGGGTGTCTGAATAGTATTATCGTAAATATCAGAAAAAGATATCTTAGTTGGAGTAAAATCGGTATATCGATCTTCATCTGGGACATTGTCTTCAAATCCAAGGTTCATTGTCACGTAGTCGCGCTGTGTATTTGCACACTGAGGTCGTGAACTTGCAGCCATAGTCGTATTTGTACGCCAAGGTCACAAACTTGAGGTAATAGTTGTTGATCAAGACGATAGTTGTGGAAGATGAAAAACTAGGGTGAAAATGTATCTTGCCTAGGATGTGGGGTGATTTGTAGGCGAAGGTGTGGGTATAGAGAGCTAGTCCTAACTAGGAAACAGAGGCTGATTTATTCTTTATTGTATTTTTGTAACGGGCCAGGCCCGATTACATTTCGCAGCTTTGCCGCTCCTGTTCACTTCATCACGTGCTACCCCGCACCCCCCTTATCCCATGTCTGTTAGCTAGTCTCTCCTTCTTCTCTAAGCTTAATATAGACAGTTTGTGACATCGCCCTGTTGAATCTAAGCTCGGCCATAGCCCTTCACATTTTTGGGTGATTTAGCGATGAACAGGCGACGTGGTGGCCGTTGTTGTGGCCGCGATCGTAGCCTACCTGCAAACACGATCGCGGCCAATGTGCGGAGTATTTCTCTCCTAAATAGGCTTAGTACATCAATTTTTACAATATTTTCATGAATAACTTCAGCTACTACTAAATCAGGCAATTTTATTGTATTCAATTACTATGAATTCGATAAAATCTGTTGAATTGCAGGTTGTAGGAGATCAGCGAGTTCATAGATGCTCTTTAGGGTTTACTTTCCCCCATTTGCCATATAAATTTATATAGTACACAGTAGAAAGTTTCACTACAAAGACACAGTGGCACTCACTATTGGCAAGCAACACCAGATATATATATTGAACATGGAGATGGGTAGTGCTACAAATAGTGCTCTCTTATTGGCCAGCACTCGCACGTGACAATTATCGTAACGATAATATCGTATCGCACGATAATTATCGTTATCGTATCGTCGAGACAACGATATTGACGATACGATAGCGATAATTATCGTCAAAAAATCGAATGAACGGTACGATAACGATATCGTACCGTCAAAATTTTTTCTCGACGATAAACGATAATTATCGTCGATATCGATATCGTATCGCATTATCGTTTTATCGTGAACACCCCTACGGGATAGCAAGTTGGCAACGGTCCTTGGCTTTTCGATAAAGGAAGTATTAAGCGCCATACGTCCCGCGTTTGTTGTTACGTTGGGTGATGTTTGTTGTGAAACGGGTGGTGGGATCCTGATCGCAGCCGATCTTAGTCAGCACATGCGTCAGCGGGTTTTTGACGAATTATGATATCATCTAGGATCAATTGATATTCCTACGCCAACATACCCCTCCACCAAATCTCAACTGCTTCTACAATTCGCTAGATGCCCTAAGATTTCTATAAAATTTCCACCAGAATAGTATTTAATTCGTCAGCTGAAATTCAGTCGGTAAGCTGATAAACGGAGATTCCATCAACATCAGGGCTGTAAAAAATTTCGAATGTTAATGTCAGTATGAGGAATTAATGTACTGGCTAGTACTGAACATATCCGATAGAATCAGATTATTGATTGATTGTTAAGATCGGTTGAACGATCTCAGGGTCTCTATATTCGAACTATGGCGTGTTATGACACCATACTAGGAGCAAATTGGGTGAACGATGAATAAGCCGGTCCCGAAGGGTCTTAGTTGTATTCGACCACTTCTTCAGTTCGTCAGGAACGATAACCAGGCTTGCAAGAGGAAAGTTTTTCCAAGAGTAGCTATTAATCCCTTAACGGTTATGAATCATGACCCAAGTGAAAATATGGGTTTAATAAAGGTGAAGTAAAACTAAAATAATCACAGGCATCATTTTGGTCGAATGGGAAAGTCAATGAAACAAAGTAGGCCCGTATTGACGTCCTTAACCTCTGTCTTAATAATCGCTCTCCCTCTCATTATATTTTTCGCTTCAGCTTCATCCCTTCACGTACGCATACTGCATGCTTTCAATAATCCCATGAATAATTAACTCCGCACCGGGATCGCAACTACTATATTCCTCTCCGGGGATGTGAGTCCATATTGAACCATTCAAGGCTTTCCATATCTTGATCTTCAAAATCAACAGACTGCGATCAATCAGAAGCCGTCAGGAATATCCAAGGAGGAGAATTGTTTTCCTGAAATCTTACTCTGTCAAAATCTGTTAAGACATATGGCAGTCTTTCCTTTGTCAAGCTCGGCCAGTATGAATTTGAGAATTGCTCCTTCTGCACCCTGAGCATAAGATAAGAACCATCATAATTAAAACCCGGATTATCGGGTTTAATTTCACCGTAGAACTCAAAAGAGCAAGTGTATCCCTCGTTTGCTAAGGATAGAGTCGTAACGGACAAAGTAATATTGGAAGGCACAATATTTTCACCTTGGAACACCAGGGTAATCATATTTTGCTCAGGGTCCGATTCGTGGCTGGTTTGGGACCACAGGACTAAATTTGAGTCAGAAATGAATTTAGATAAACGGTAGACGCCAGAGATATTTTGGATTCTTCTCAAGGGCGTACTATTAAGTTTGTTACGCACCATAGGGAGGTCTTGGCATTGTTTGGTGATCGGAGCGTACAATTTAAGTATCCGCCTTGATTTCGCTTTAGGCAAATTTGAGTTCACTTAACAGATGATAGAACGAAGAATTTCAAACTGTCGCAAATCCTGAAGATATGACGCGGTATCTCAATCGTTTGACACGTTTGCCTTAGATATAATCACATGCTCACCGCATTGACCATTTGCTTTCTGCCCTCCTGAGGCTACTTTTCCGTCCTTGGGGCTAGTTCACAATTGAGACTCAGGTTATAATATATGAACGATCTACGTACTATCGACAAAAGTTGATAGCGTCATAGTTAATTTGTTTGGTACGGAGTAAGCAGTGAAAACGCGCATTCTCCTCAAGAGTATTCAATATTCCAACCTTACAAGGTTACGTATGAGTTTCTGCACTTGTCATTATTACTACACCCTGAATGAATTACAGTGGCCACTGGCTGGTAATTCGAGGGTATTGAGAGTAGCGAGAGACAGATAATCGGTGAAACTACATCATTATGACGATTCCGAAGATTTTGTCCAATAGACAGACTTCCGCGTGGCGGCAACATGGCCTAGATGTTTACCATGAGTGGAAGAGCAAGCTTCTATTCACATGAACCTTGGTTGGGTACAAACAAGAATACTATTTTCCCTGTTCTCAGTCACATGAACACGGCGTCTGAACTGTTTGGTGTAATTACGATGTATCCCATCCAGTCGGAAATCGTATAAGATTTGCGGGCATCTGTCTGTGCCTTAAATCTTACCCGCTGGGTTCGCATAATAAATTTTGTTCTCATATACACCTACAGCACCCCAAGCGTATTTCCCCCATGGCCATGCAAATAAAATTATTGGGGGTTGACACATGAATACAACATGCATTCCCTTTGAATGCTGTGCGAAAGCGGTGGTATGCGGACCGTGTGCTCAATGTACGGATCCGAAGGATGCATCAATAATGTTGACAATGTAAAGGATACGATAATACACAGTCTAGTCTGGAGTCCTCCATGGAGCCCGAAGAACCGAACGAATTCAAGAATCTCAACCACAGCTCGAGATACATGGTTGAAATTGGTAAATGGAATGAAATTGGTGCTATA